TAAAGACTCAGCAAGAAAACTATTGGACGTAGTTGACCAATTCAGCAGAATAGCAGGATACTAGATTAACATACAAAAATCAGTTGGATTTCTCTAGCGTGACAAAGAATACAGAGCTGGAGCTAAGAAAAACAATACCCTTCACAATAGCTAATCACAAGATAAAGTATTTGGGAGTAAATATAACTAGAAGCACAAAGGATCTATTTAAAGAAAATTACAAAGCATTACTAACTCCTCTTGATAAGATGTTCAAAGTAGATGAGATGAAGTTTCATCATCCTTACCTCCAAGGAGCACTCTGGCTACACTTCTTCCAACAAAGATTTATTTGTTCTTTTGGCAATCCATGGTATATTTTATAGTCTTCTCAAAAAAAACCCATAATTCAAAGGCATTCATTATTCTTTAGACTTCCTTGTTCACTAATATTTTTTTACATGTAATAGTCAATTTAAAATACTATGGTTTTAGTTAAGAGCACCTTAATCTTAAACTGACAGCCATGCTTTTTAGCACTTTAAAAAGGTCTTTTGAGGGTAGATTTGCCCAAGGTAGCACATCTTTCTATTTCTTGACTATTGCTTCAGGGGTGCTGATGGTAGATCCATTCAAAAGAAAATTCTTGACAGTGTCAACGTTTTGTTGGGTTTTTTTTCCCCTTTTTCTTTTTCGGTGGAGTAGTGAAAAGGATTTTTGTTTTCTTTATGGTAAAGTGTAATGCATATATTCAAGACCTTTTTAATTTTTTATAAGCAAATTTATATTATCTGCATAACTCAGGTGGTTGATGAGTTTTCCTTTAATCTTTATATCACATTTTTCTTTGTAGAGTTCAGCTTCTTTGATTATTTGCTCAGCATACAGATAAAGAGAGTGAAAGTCATAACTCTGATATATTCATATTCTGATTTTTAAAACACATCCCATGTTCTGGTCAAATGACTCTCTTGGTCTATGAACAGGTTACACATCAGTAAAATTCAGTGTTCTGGAATTCCTGTTCTTCTCAATAGTATTATTTATTATGATCCACACAGCAAAAAGTCTTCGCATAATCAATAAAATACAAACATGTTTACAATATTCTTTACTTCCTCCAAATACACTTGATGTTAACAATAGTATCACTTGTTTCACTGCCTCCTAAAAGCAGTCTTCCTTAATGGTCCAGATGCAGAGCTACCAACCAATGAAGGACCTGCAACCACTGAAACAGCAAGACTCAAACTGAAGAGAAATTGCTGAGATCATCTATTAATAATTAAAACATGGAATATATAAAGTATGAATTTAGGAAAATTGGAAGTTGTAAAAAACGAAATGAAACCCATAAAAATAGATATCCTAGACTTTATTTAATTGAAATAAACATGAACTGGTCATTTTGGACAAGTCAATAATATGGTTTACTAAGCTAAATTGAGAAGGAATGGTGTAGTCTTTGTCATCAAAAAGAATATTTACTTTGCCCCCCCTTCCCTCAAAAATTACCCATCTGAAACAGGTAGATTAATTTTAGATTAAGGAAAACCATGAAATTCTCTTAGATAAAGCAGACACAGGCAAAATGTATTTAAATAATACTAGATTTCTACTTTATCTACTTAAAATAGATGGAATATGATCACACTCAAGGCTCCACAAAGTTTCAACTAAAATAGAAAACATATACTCACCCATTCACTCTAGTATCTAATGAAAGCCGCAGGACAGAGATAAACCAGGAAAGTTTGATCACTTTCCTTAAACTCACCCTACAGACACATGAAACTCATTGGGCTCATCAGTATTTTTTTATTAACTTCCCCCAAAAGGCATGAGACTTGAATTATATTACTATTCAAGTCACAAACCACAACTTAACAAAAGTCAAAACAGTTTGACAATCTGCAAAAAGAATAAGGGCCATGTTTGGGGGTGTGTGCATGCTATATCTGACCTTTATCAGCTTCACAAAGGGGAACTCTTCCTGTCCATAGCATAATAACACAAAAACAATTTCCATGAGGTCAGACATGTCTTCCATGCTCCCAATACTTATTTCTACTCATCTCAATGCCAAGCTTACTACTCTGCTAGGTTCAAAATCTGATGTAGTAGTTTGCAGACCTCACAGAAAAAAAGTCTGGTGGATCTATTTTCAAAAAGATTATCATCACAAAAATCATTGGAGCCCTTTTTAACAAAGATAGCAAAGTAGGCCCCAGCCCCTCCCCAAACTGGCCCTAAAGGCCAAAAGGAGGCAGTGCTAAAAGGCATTTACCACCAAATACAAAAGACTACCCAGGTGTAAACCACCCTCTGGCAGCCTACGAGCTGAAAAGGCTATATGAGACACTTACGTGGCCAAAGTCAATGCTTTGATCAGACCTGCTGAAGACTATTCTGCTTTGGATGTTACCAATAAATTTGAGATAATCTAAACTGAGTCCTACTGACTAAATACAATTTTTTTTTCTCATTAGAAAGAAAACTCATTGGACCACTGGAGAGCTGTGCTCTGCACACATGGAGTCACCAGAAACCTGAGTCACCTCAACAGCACATGGTTTCTGACCAGGAGTATTTGCTGCTATGGTCTAGAAAAATCCACTGCCAAAGATAAGCCCATACTCTAACATCTTGCTGTTGAGTCCATTTCAACTCATAGTGATCCTATGGGTTAGATTAGAACTGCCTCACAAGGTTTCCAAGATTGTAAACCTTTATGGAGGCAAATGTCCACATCCTTCTCTCACATAGTGCCTGATGGGTTGAATCTCTGGCCTTTGGGTTAGAAGCCAAGCTCTAAAGCACTGCTCCACCGGAGCTCCTGCCAAAGAGAACCCTGGATATAATGCTAGAGAGCTAGAGGTCAGACAAAACTTCAAGTACTGACTGCTTAAATCACTCAACAGAAAAATCCTGCATAACTATGGTTTCAAAATACAATGGACAGTTCTCACTTCAACAGCACATATACTAAAACTGGAACAATACAGAGAAGATTAGCATGGCCCCTGCACAAGGATAACATGTAAATTCATGAAGCATACCATATTTTTATACACCAATGCTCATAGCAGCATTATTCACCATCACAAGGACATGGAAACAGCTCAGATGTCCAACCACTATCGAATGGATTGAGAAATTATGGTACATTCACACAATGGATAACTACGCAGCATGCAGGAGCAATGATTTTGTAAATTATTTCCTAACTTAGGATGGACTGGAGAGCATTATGCTAAGTGAACTAACTCAGTATCATAAGGACAAATACTCAATAAAACTATTAATGTAGAATGAATATAAGGATCTGAGAGTGGAAGCAAAGGGGTGAGGATGTGCAAGGGGGCGATGGGGGAAATTAATCATGGGGTCGCACAATTTGATGGGTGGGGGGTGAGGGAAATGGGAAGGAACTGGTGTGAAAAATAATGTATTTGAATTTTGTAAATAAACTAGTATAATAAAAATACAATTGACATAAGTAATGGGACTGAATTGTACTTGTAAAATAAATGTTGGATTTACAAATGCTTTGTTATACACACACACACACACAATGAAACAATCAAAAGTAAACCTGTGTACAATGTTCTCTCATGTATGAGAATGGCCACAAGCAAGGAAAAGAGAAAAGCTCTAGCCCTTAACTTCACATAGAAACCACGAGCTAAATTTGTTTATTCATGTTGAAAGTTACTTACCTAGACATGTGACTTGGTCTAGGATTCACTTTAACAAGTGGTTCTTGTAATTCTGATACACTTTCATGCTCTGAAGGAACTTCCAAACAGGAAAATTAAAAACAACGTATTAAGCATCTCAAATAACCATTTTAATATACTACTCAGCTATTATTTATGGTAAATTTAAAAAAAAAATCTGACCTGGGCTGGAATCCACATGGTTTGATTGTTCAGACAAACTATCAACTCTATTTGTTTGCTGCAAATTGATATAGATACAAACATATTAATTCTAGTATCTTTTTAGCTCCTTTTGGGAAATTCTTTGGGGCATATTAATAAGGAAAAAAATATGCTAGCAGGGAGTAGAAATTAGTAGATGGATGGTTGGGGTAAGGGATAGGAAAGTACAGGGAGAATCTGATGAAACTGATAAATGGCATTGCTCAACTGTGATAAATAAAACAAAGTATATGACTGATCCAATGGAAGCCAATTAAAAAAAAGAAAAGCATTTGCACTGAATATGAAAATGCCCATCTCTTTATGGATTTGACTTGGCTCCAAGTAACTGCTGCCTATTTTAAAAAAATGCAGGAGAAGGTAATTTGTCACTACTGAACAAACTGCAGAAAGTGTCCTTGTTACCAGGGTAAATACACCAAAGGCAGGCATATATCTTCAACATCAGCAGCTAAAGACAACGTGCAACTTCTCAAGGAAATACTCAAAATATGACTACATGGGAAAATTTTAAAATTTCTTTAAAAATTATTACCCTTTTGATGATAAACCCAGCAAAAGAAAGAAAATGAGAAGGGGACTAAGCACCTATATATACCAAGCACTGTAAGGGACTTTATGTACTTTTTCATTTTATCCTCACAAGGCTACCCTGTGAAATAGCTATTCTCAAAACTCACTGCCTGCAAGTAGGAGATGGCCCAATATAGACCTGTAAATCACACCGGAGGAAATAGTCCATCTGGCAGAAACTCTGGGTTAACGGTATAACTCCCTGTGGACTACACCACCAGAGCCCTCCAAACATTAGGCATCTTTCCCTACATCTCAATATCCTGATCTTATACTATGAGGTAATAGCGAGAGGGCAGCCAATTCAGGCAGTTTATGGGTAAGTTTAGTGAAAGAACAAAATACCATGAACATGGCAGGCAAGAATAATCTAAAGGGAGGGATACAAAAAGATAAAGATGAACAAATGATGAGGTAGCCAAGCGAGGGAAGTGGCTTCCATCTGTAAATCTGTCATTCTGTGGGATACAGATTCTTGCCTCCAAGCTCCCCAGTCATACTCACCGCTGGCTCATCCTGGCTATTAAAGGGGAGAGTTATTGGACACTGATCTTCCAATTTCATGAAATCTTCCTCAGGGGATGCACTTCCTTTAGCTAAACACATGCGAGGCAGGGGAAAGGAGCATTTAAGAGTAATGGTCATGGCCAATGTCATCACAGTCTCTAATTGCCTTTCTTTTTTAACCAATTATCCACCATATTTATTAAGTAATCTGACATTGCCTTTACTAGAGACCTGAGTTTTAAAATGCAAGAGGTAATTCCGCTGGAGCAAGTCCCAAATTATCTCAAAAGCAGTTACACTGCTCCACCACAGATATGCTCATGTGGTATACATTCAGCTTGTGTTTGTCTTCCAGGACCATCAGGGAGAAAAGCCTGACCCTGGTGGGACCATAGAGATGGAAGAGCTGAAAACAGGTACGTGGTTTCTTTTCAAAGCACTGAAAGTTGGACTCGCGAAGCTCACTATTGATGGCCAGGAAGATCCCTTGGCAATAAAGAAAACTGAAAATCTTGGGTGCAATGATACATTCACCTTAGGCAGCCCTGTGAAGGTTTACTATGTGATATTGAAAATGACATAGCTTCTCTGATGAATCCATAAACTGGATTGAGGATTAGCTCCTCCAAATTAGGGATAATGGGACTCTGCAAAAAAAAAAAACCTGGTCAAACACAGCTGGCTGTGTGTGAGGTGAAGAAATGACCACCAACGTTTTATTTCTTATGATTTCAATGTCTATACCCTCCTTCAGACTGGCATCAGTAATATCAATAAACCTTTTTCTTCTTCTATAAGGGTGGGTATTAGCTCCATTCAGTAGATTAGTAAAGAGAAGATCTCTACTATTGATACACTCTGTGAAAGATAGGCTGCAAAGATAATGGGAAAAGAACCCAAACAGAATCATTGAAAGCCCCTTTGAAGGTCTGTGAATTCAAGAACAAGCTCAGTGGTAAGTGGAACAACGGGCACCCAGGCCCATAGATGAATCACCGGAATCCCCATGAAGGGAGCTGCTTCAAAATGGAAGAGCCAGTGGTTGTGTGTTGCTGTCTGTTTGCCGGCGGGGAGCAGCGACACCCTGATGACGCTGAGTGTGACAGACATACACTATTCCAGGAGTGCTGCAGAGAGCCTGACTCGCTTTATTGGGGGTTACAGTGTGCTTATTATATACAGGCGAGTAAAAAGAAAAACAAAATGAAATAAATTTGTAGATGTAAAGTATGCAAATTAAACAAAAAAACTTCAGCTCAGTGCAAAACACTCCCAGCTCAACAGATGTGCCAGCCATCTTCCTTGGTGGCAAATTTTCTCAAGCCAGCACAGCCAAACATAGAGAAAAGTTTTCTCTATCCCATATTAAGGGCTTTTGGGTCAAATAGGCTTGCACTTATCCAGAGCTAGGCGATCTGCCCTGGCCAAAGGCTTCCTTCTCCTCCCCAACATTCCCCAACAGTTGTGTAGAAACCGGACACTTTAAGATGTGAGGTTAAAGCCATCTTGTCTTGGCAGAAAATATTTTGTTCAGACAATAGGTAAGAATTTGACCAGGATAGTGAAATAGCTCTACCCAGCTGAAATGCACCCAAAGACCAAGAGCTGAGAACACAGGAATGAACCCAAAGCTTTCCGTCCTACTGCTTCCGCCCTCCATAATGTCTACTCCCTGATGCTCTCTGCTTTTTGAGGAGTACACAGGGCTGATACAAAGCCATCCTTTGGGAAGAGTTGTAAAGAAGTTTCCCCCAGAAATCTAGAGTGTTCCTTAGAGTCAAGGGAACTCAGACAGTTGCTGTGTCAACACAAAGGTGTATGGTTCAAATTCACCAGCTGTTCCACAGAGGAAAGATGGGCAGTCTCCTCTGGTGCAAGTAACTGCCCCTGAAAATCCACTAGAAGATCAGTTATTGGTTGGTTCTGACTTGACAGTACAAAACAACAATCAACTGAGAGGCAAGGATGGTGAAGCTTTGTCTCACTCACATTGGGCATGTTATCAGGTGAGTGATGGAAGTCCTTGGTGGAGGATATCATGCTTGGAAAGGTGAAGGGTCAGAGAGAGGAAGACCTTCAACAAGATAGAACAAATGCAGGCTGCTCAAGAATGTCACAGATGATAAAGATGGCCCTGGATAAGACAGGATTCAGATGTTGATAAGGTCACTATGAGTTGTAGCTGACTCAACAGCACCAAACAACAATAACAATATTGACACTGTGGAAAACCATTTGGTAATTCAACTCATAAGACAGAATTCAGTAAGGTAGGGTTGGCTCTGTGGCAGATGAGGTCAATCTTCTTGTGATGCCATAAGGAATATTTGGAAGGATCCTCTGTCCTCCTGCCCACTGCCCATTTTATCTCTTTATTATTTTCAATAGATCTACGAGAATGATTTTATCGGGTGAAGAAAAGAATGGCTACTTTTCCAAAGGGGGGGAAAAACCCTGCTATATTATTTGTTACACTTCATATCTAAAGGTATCAGTGACCTCTTCCAGGTAAAGTTTTATTATTACTTTCATAGGGAAATCTAAAGATTAATTGCATTAGGAAAATCTTCTGTCAGGCACCTCTCCAGAGTGCTGAAGAGCAAGGATGTCAGACTAGAGGCTAAGGTGTACCTGATCCAGGTTGTGGTCTCTGCAATTACTTGCTATGCATCAGAGAGCTGGACAATGACCAAGAACGACAGGAGAATTATTGATGCCTTTGAGTTGTGGTGCTAGAGAAGAGTACTGAACATACCATGGACTTCCAAGAGAAAAGGTGAAAACAGAGTGACTGTTAGTTGGAGGCAAGGATTTTGATACTCCATCTCATATACTTTGGGCATGTTGCCAGAAGGGAAGCCTTTGGAAGAGGGTATCATTCTTGAAAGGTTTAAGGAACAGCACAGGAAAGGAAAACTCCAGATGAGAGGGATTGATTGACACAGTAACTATGGTAATAAAAGTACTACAAGTAGGTGTGTCAGAGACACTGAGATTGGCTCAGGATAGAATAGAGCTCAGAGCTATTATATGCATAGGGTTGCTATGAGTCATAATTGACTCAATGGCACATAATAACAAGGAAATTCAAAGAATTTTATTTTATCCCAATAGATTTCTTTTTCATGGTTTCTAAGAATCTCCATCTTTTTAAAACTTACCAATATTGTCTGAAGAAACATCTCTCTGATCTGGCAGTATCTAAAACGCAAGTGGAAACCATTTTTAAAGGTAGTAATCATTTACATATTTACACACATACACATTGTTAAACAAGCACTCAATAGACGGTTTAAATAGTTAATGTGCTCAGTTACTAACCAACAAATTTAAAGTTCAAGGTCACTGAGAGGTGTCTAGGAAGAAAGCCCTGGCCATCTACTATCCAGAACCTGAAAACATGAAGCACAGTAATACTCTGACACACTATGAATAAGAGTTGACAAGATAACTGGCATTGGTATATGTTCCAGTAGGTGCCGAAGGAGACCTGGTGACACAATGGTCAAGCACTTGGCTGCCAAGTAAAAGCCAAACCAGCAGCAACTCAACTTGGTGGGGAAAAAGACCTGATGATCTGATCTGCCTCCAAAGGGGTCATTTTACTGTCTCTCCAGCTAATTTCTTCTTCCTTCAGGTCAGCTCTACTGTCTACTCCTCTGCTCTATGACCTATCTTCCCTCTGCCCAAGCAGAACCTCCAAGTCATCTTCAATCTGTTTCACATTCTTGGGATCAGGTTGGCCCACCTGCTCAAGTCTGCAGTCTGCTTTCACCCAGACTCACTACTCTTACCCTCCAGGAATTCCTCACTCCAGGAAGGGTGACTTAATGGCATGCATATCTTATTTGCCCTCAAACACTTTTATTCACTTTGTATAATACTTAGATTTTCCATGATGTTATGTGCTGTTGAATCACTTGCGACTCATAGCAACCCTATGTACAATAGCTCTGAACCCTGCTTTATCTTGAGCCAACATCACTGTCTCTGACACACCTACCCCATTACCCCAGTCACTGAGTCAATCCCTCTCTCATCCATGGTCTTTCCCTCCTGTGCTATTCCTTGACCCTTCCAAGCAAGATATCCTTCTCCAAAGACTGGCCCCTCCTCACTACATGCCCAAACTATGTGAGATGGAGTTGCAAAATCCTTGCCTCTAAGGAGCAGCCTGGTTTCACCCTCTCCAGGACGAATCTATTTGTTCTCCAAGCAGTCCTTGGTAGATTCAATACTCTTCTCCAGAACCACAACACAAAGGCATCAATTCTCCTCCTATCATACTTAGTCGTTTTCCAGCTCTCTGATGCATAACAAGTGATTGCAAAGACAATGGCCTGGATCAGGTGCATCTTAGTCTCTAGACTGACAAACCTATCGTTTTAGGCCAGTTCGTAGAGGACATGAAGGATGAGGTTGTTTTAGATTAAGTAGCTGATTCTACTTTAATTTCTCATCTTTACCCATGAAATGGTTCTTTCCTGGGGTTAATGTTTGGAAACTATGGTGGCCTAGAGGTACGAAACTATGCTGCAATCCCAAAGGCATACAGTTCAAACCCACCAGCTGCTCTGGGGGAAAAAGACGGGCAATTTCCTCCCCTGCGATTTATTGCTCTGAAAACCCACTGGAGGGTTAGCTATGTGTCGGACACAATTCAGCAGTACATAACACATTGTTTATAACATACTAATATAGAACACAAGATTTAAAAAAAAAACAAACCACCACAAACCAACAGCGGCAACCTGCTTGGGACTTCCTATCATTTCCCTGAGCCCTTAACAGACTAATGCTCCGTATGCTCACAATATTCTGTCTTCTAGTAATAAATTTCTTAACCCTTCCCACTACTTGTGACAGAGACAGGATTCTTACTCTTGAGTATCAACTGGTATCCCATCAATTCCTGGGGCCTTATTTTTTGTCAATGCCTTCAATGCAGCTTGAAAGTTGTCTTTCATTACCATTAGTTCTTGATCGTATGCTATCCCCAAAATGGTTCAATGTTGACAAATTCTCTGGAGTACAGTTACTCTGTGTATCCCTTCCATCTTCTTCTCATGCTTCTTACAGCATTCAAGATTTTGTCCATAGAATCCTTCAGTCTATGCCCAAACTATTTCTACAAAATTAAAATAGTAGACAGAACTTTGGGGAAACTCCCTAAGAAATCCTAGCTTTAGTCACTCCCCTGGAAGCACCAAGCAGCCCACAGAGAACATGCGCAGGGTTTTAGGAGCCATGTAGCTAGGAGGGAGAACTTCTATTTATTTACAACAAATAAGACATTTCAAAACACAAGGAAGCTTTGTGTCCTACACTGCTGTACTGCTGTGATCAATATAAGAAAAGCAAGCACTAGGACCTAAACTAGAACTTTTAACTCTTCTTACATGATATTTAAAAGATCAAGACTTAGGGGAGCTCTGGTGGCCTAGTGGTAAGAAGCTGTACTGCAATCCCAGAGATATGAGGTTCGAATCCACCAGATGCTCTGCCAGAAAAGGAGGGGTAATCTCCTCCTGTACCTGTTGGATCTGATTTGACAGTACAAACACACACAAAATAATAATACAAAAGAAAAAAAAGATCAAGACTTGTGATTGACCAAATATTCATTTAAAAACCCAGTAATAGAAAGCAAAGAGATAGAAACAATCCAGATGTTCATCAAAAGAATAAAGAAAGAAACTATGGCACATTCACATAATGGAGAGCAATGCAGCACTAAGAAAATAAAATTCAGTAAACATTGCATACTGTCATTGTATCTAGAAAACATTACATGAAATCAAATAAGTCAATAAAAAAAGAACTACTGTGGTATAAAAAGCTAAGGAAAGGTTATAGAAAAGGGAAAGATAATGGATGGAGAAGAGATTGAGGTTGTTAGCAACTACAGCTTGCTCAGATCCACAATCAACTCTCTTAACACCAGCAGTCAGAAAATCAAAGGAGAAATTGCATCAAGAAAATCTGCTGTCATGGACCTCTCCAGAGTGCTGAAGAGCAACAATGTCAGTCTAGATATGAAGGTGAGCCTAATCCAGGTCATGGTCTTCTCAATTGTTATGCTTCAGAGAGTTAAACAATGACTAAGGATGACAGAAGAATAGATGCCTTCTAGTTGTGGTGCTGGAGAAGAGTCTTGAACATACCATGGACTGCCAAGAAAACAAATCGGTCTATTTTGGAGAGGGTGAAACCAAGTCTCTCCTTGGAGGCTAGGATTTTGAAGCTCCACCTCACTTATTTTGGACACATGGCCAGGAGAGACCAGTCCTTGGAGAAGGACATCATGCTCAGAAGGGTAGATGGACAGCACAAGAGAGGAAGACTCCGGATGAGATGGTTTGATAACTGGGGCAATGGGTGTTGGTGTGTTGGAATTAGTAAGACTGGCTCAGGACAATGGCACATAACAACAATACCATACTATGACAGGTGTGGAAACAGGAGTAGCATCCTCTTCCTAAACATGCCTCTGGAAACTCTATGAACTTTGATAAAAGTCGATAGTTGTAGAGGGATTCTGGCTTTTTTGTTCATAGGGTCGCTATGAGTCATGCTCAACTCAAAGCAATCAACAACAAGGAAACTTACACATAGAAGCATGCTTTGATGGTTACCAGGAATGGGAAGGGAGGAGGAGGGATAACTTGGTGAAAAGCAAGACAATAGATGTAAGGATTGCTTAGACATTGTAGTCTATGAAAGATCAAATGAAAAAGTAATATTGTAAACTTCCACTCAATTTTATTTTTTTTTTAAAATGGTCTTTAAAATTTAAACAAACAAAAAACCCCACATCCACAAAAACCAGAATGGAATATGGGCCTTTAAGGTCAAAGGGCACAACACAGTCCACAAAGACGATGTTATATTTTGGTGAGTAGGGACTGAGTATCAACAACTTGTGAGCAGCCATAAAGCACATTGGTCTCTCCACGTTCGGAACAAAGTGAAGGAAAACAAAGATGTGTAGAAACAATCCATGCAGAGGACTAGAGAATCATAAGAACCTCAACATCTACAATCTAAGACCAAGACAACTGGATGGTGTCTGGATACCACTACCAACCACCTTAAAAGGAATCACAATAGAAGAATCCTGGATGCAGTAGGGGAAATGTGGAACAAAACACAAACTAGCCGGGCCTACTGGTGGATAACAAAACTCATCTCCTTTTGACTCCACTTCCAGCCAAGAACAGGCATTCTAAAAGGTTAACAGGAAGCTCTGGTGGCTTAGTGGGTAAGGAGTTGAGCTACCAACCTAGAAACATTCGATTAGCATAGACCAATTGTTCTACAGAAGAAATGTGGATAATCTCCTTATGTGCAAGTTACATCTTCTGAAAACCCACTAGAGGGTCAGCCATGAGTCAGTTCCAACTTGACAACAATAAACAACAATAGAAGGTTAAAAATACCACCAGGAGAGACTTTTTAAAAAACTTGTTTTGTTGTTGTTGTTGTGCACTGTTGAATGGGATCTGACTGGCACAGTACAAGATGGCCTCTTCTCCATCAGAGTATCTGGTGGATTCAAACCGTATGCCTTCGGGATTGCAGTGCAGCTTCTTGTGACTAGGCCACCAGAGCTCCCTTAAGACATGCTTCTCAGAGTATAGAGTATAAGATAAAAAGGATAGTGTTCCAAGGATAAAGTCCAGAAGGCATGAAAGAAAAAACAGACTAATGAAAATGAGAATTACAGGGAGGAAGTGGGGAGAGAGTGATAATATTCTACCTACTGTAATTACTGATATAAAACAAAATGTACATGAATGAATGGATGAATGGAAAAGCAATTTGTTTTTTTTCTTTTCCACTAAGATCACAACTGGGGGAAATCCAGTAAGAAAATTCAAGACACATGAAAATATATTAAACTATATTCAAATAAGCATAAAAAGAAACCTGCTTATCTTCTCCCAAAGTTTTCATGGAAACTTGAGATATGTTAAATTGCAAATCAAAATGGATTTCTGTCTTCTTCACTTCTTTGCTGTTGATAATTATGGGATTCTTTAGAGTAACAATGAGCACCTTCATCTTCTCAGTTTCTATAAAACAATGAAATACATCAACACATAACAATACATATGGTGAAGGGTCTTAAATTTACAATTCCAACTAACTGCACTAGAACTTTTGCCAACTATCCAGCGTTCTCAGCATTAAGAAGTTGAAAAGAAAGAAAACTGCCTTAGAATTATTTCTATTAGTTTCTATTAGACACAGGTGTGTGTCCATGTAAGTACTTGATTTTGCACAGAAAACAACCCAAAATCAAAGAAATAGGCCGAATTCTATAGTTTATCTACTCTGAAAGAGTATTTTATGAATACAAACCTCTCATTTGCAACATCTATTTTACTTTTCAACATATTAAGCACAGTAGTCATTCTCTTTGTCTTTCTCTGCTTATTTTCCTCTCTTCTCCACCTTTCCCCATGTTGTTGTTATAGGTCATTGAGTTGGTCAGAATAAAATTCATTGCTCCCAATATGAAGCCATAAAAAGGGAATAATCTAGCACTATTTCATTGGAATCTCCATAGAGAGACAGAAATATTCTCAGAGAGGTTTGTTTCAGACAATAGTTTTTTATTATTATTATTTATTATTATTATTATTATTTTGTGTACCATCAAATTAGATCTGACTGGTACAGGAGGAGATTGTTCCTCCTTCTCCAGCAGAGCATCTGGTGGATTCGAACCGAGCACCTCTGGGATTGCAGACAATAGTTTTCTTGACCATCTCCTACCAAGATACCAGTCCCTTTTCATTCATAAAACTGGTTTTAAAAGATAAGTAGCTTAGATAACAATTTAAGAGTCTAAAAACCATAGCATGTGTAAGTTGAATTGGAAGCAGTAAAAGAGAAAAGATTATGGCAAAGCAGACAAATGAGAAAAAAGGAGAAGCAAGACATCCTGGGGGGCGAGACTTGTGCTGCTCGGCACGGTGGCCCCCAGTTACATCACAGCTACTGAGGATGTGAAAGGCTACAGTCCAAATTTAGACGCGTTTAAATGCATAAAAAACCTAAAAAATAACATGTTTATGAATTTATAGATAGAATTCATGCTTGTAGGAAATGAAAAAATGTGTAGTGTGTGTAAGAAAGAGATAACTCATCAGTAATAATTTTTATAGTAATGGTATGTTAAAATATACACATTTTTATTCTAGGATGAATGAAATGTATTTATTGAAATGTAGTTGTTTCTTTTTGTTTTTGTCAACGTGCCTATCAGAAAATTTTAAATCTTAATTTCAAATGGAATTGTAGTCTGCAGTGGATATGTTTGGGAGTGTGCATTTTAGTGTCACCTCTGGCCCTTTGAAGCTATGTGACCAGCCAATCACTTAAATACTTGTGCTGCTACAGGAAAGCAGTTGTAAATAAAGCTCAGTCACCCCTGAAACACTAGTCTTGACATTTAGTCATTGCAGGGAATATCTATAAAACCTAGCAAAAGGAATTAAAACTTAGCAAAAGGAATTTTTGAGCATTTGGAAAGGCAACTAGTTAGGCAGAAGAGTGGAAGAGTTCAGAGAGGAGCCTGAGGATTGCAGCAGCTTTCCTCCACTGCTGTCAGCTCCCACACGTGGTGAGCCCATGTGGGCCTGGCAGAAGTGTGTCTCACGGGGCTTTTAATGGGTACCTTTTCAGAAGTGCATCACCTGCAAAGTCCAATAACACAACAAAGTACAAACACTGATGAAATTGTGCCGTTCAAACTCTCCTACACCGCTGGTGGGAGTGTAAAATAGTGTTATCACTATGGAAAGAAGTTTAGCACGTTCTTAGAAAGCTGAGGCTAGAAATAATACCATTTGGTCCAGCAGACCCACTCAAAACTCAAAATCACATTGCTGTAGTGTAGGAAGCAACTCAGAGTTGACAATCCAGGGGGTTTTCAGATGTTGTAAATCACACACAAGGAGATTGCCCATTTATTTCTCCCATGGAGCCACTGCTGGATTTGAATTGCCAAGGAGGCACCATGTTTGGATTCATAACTCTTTGCTGACAATGCCACCAGAGCTCCCTTGTTGGTAACCCAAATGCAGCACCTCTCTGCAGGTTTGGATCCACAGCATTTCTGAGGGGGGAAGATGGGCTGCTGCCTCCTGTGCAATTTACAGCTCTGACTTGATGGCAATGAGATTGAGTTTAGCACTTCCATTACTAGCCATATATCCCAAAAAATAAGGTCTGTGACCCTAACACATGCATACACATGTGTACTGCAGTTTTATTTACAATAGCAAAGAGTTGTAAACAGTCCAAGTGTCCATAACAGACAAATGGCTAAAAAAAACTGGTACATCCACAAAATGGAGTTTTATGGATAAATCTAGAATGACTGATAGTGTCAGACACAAAATGACAATTACGATGTAAGACCACTACTATAAAAACTTAACAAAGGTTTACATACAATATTAATTAATTAAGCTGACTACACCTATAGAAAGAAATGCTGGAGAAGCTCAGTATCATCAGTCTGAACAAAGGTGGCGGGGTCAACTGTGGAAATGACCATCGATTGCTCATTGTTCAACTTGAATCTGAAGATCATCAAATCCTTATAAGAGTCAAAATATGACCCTGAACATATCCCACCTGGATTGAGAGACCATCTCAAGAATAGATTTGATGCACTGAACATTAATGACTGAAGATCTGACAACGTGGGGGAGAACATCAAGGACAACATACATGAAGAAACAACAGATCATCAAAGATAGAAAAGATCAAAGTGGAAGTCAGAAGAGACACTGAAACTTGTTCTAGAATGTAGAGAAGTTAAAATGAAAAGAATAAATAAAACAATAAGATCATTAAATAGAAGATATTTAAAGGCAACTTAAGATGATATGGAAAATTATTATAATAATATGGAAAGAGATATTGGAGAATCTCAATATTGGCAGTCAAATCCAGGCCAGTGGCTGATGTGGAACAATCAACTACTCAGATGTAAGTTCAAACTGAAGATGATGAAAATGAAAACAAGTCCACATGAACTAAAATACGTGAGAGCACTTTCCATGCTGTGGGTGCACTACGAAGAAACTGTGAGACACAGCGGTGGAAAAAAGGTGAAGAGATTGTGGTACTGCTGTGAAGTACCTGTGACAAAAAGTAACCTTAGGAACCTCGGAGTTGAAGCCACAAGTTAAAAGTTTCGGTTGTGGGATGATTGAAGGAAAAGTTTGAGATAGAGTTTGCTGGACTAATTGAAAAAACCAGCAATGTATTTGTGCTCCTGAACTGAGCCTGAATTTTCACTAACTGAGGAACTGTACTTTGTTAATCTGGTTTGGGACTACTGGACTAAACCTGGACTTGCTCTGTGTGATTTTCTTTGTTTTCCCTACTTCCCAAGCTATTCTCCTAATAAACTCCACAACTGTGAGTGAATAAAGTCTAAGAGTCAAGTTGCAAAGAACATCAGAACCAATGACTGGTAAAAATTGGCTTCCCTCACATTGCATCTGCTTTTTTTTGCACTGTCGAATTTTAAAACGATCTTAAGATTATTGTTGTTGTTGTTGTATACCATGAAGTTGTAATGAACTCATAGGAACAAACAAACATAAAAAAGATAGACATATGAAGATCATTTGCAAAGAAAGCTACCAAGAAATGCCCAGAGAGGGCTACCAACAAGGTGTATACTAACACAGCCCAGAACCTGATCTAGACTTTTAACCTTAAGAACTGTACAAAATTATGTTCCTTCAAGTCACCCATTTGTGGTAGATCTATTATAGTTACTCCAGGAAATCAAGATATCTATGTATAAGCTGAGAGGAAAGATGAATGTCAGAGACTCAAAAGTGAGTCCAAAGGGCTGATATTTCAACATAATAACATAAACTCATTACTACTTCATCTCTAGGAGAGAGGGAAGTCAACTACTACAACCACTTTAGAATGAGAAAATGAATTTTCCTGAATCCGACAACTGCAAAGCAAAGGAATGACTATAAATATCATCACTCTGCCCCTAGCACAGTATTCCTTCCATTGTACCAGTCTCCTTTCCACATCAAATAACATTCAACCCTGCTCTAGAATTCAACATAGGTTGTTGTTGCTGTTGTGAGGTGTCATCCTGCACTCAAGGAGAGAGGAACAAGAAGAAACAGTGAGACTTCAGTACCATTAAAACAGAAGAGCCAGAAGGAGAGGATGTTCCATCAGACAGAGGTTTTGAGCTGGGAAAACACCTAGAACCAGGAGAACAGAGACAGATCACTTTCTCCTAGAACTGGGACCTTGAATTTGGACTTCTAGTCTCCTAAATGTCTAGCCTCCAGTAAGGAAGTATAGTTCTCAGGGAGTTACACTGCTAAGCCAAAGGTCACACCTCTCAGGAAATTCAAAACCCCAAATTCAATGTTCCAAGGCATAAAAAAGTGACAATTTCCTCTCATGTTATTTATGGCCTTGAAAACCCAGTGGTGGGTCAGCTATAAGACTGTTCTAACTTAACAGTAATGAGTCAGTGAGTTGTTGTTGTTGTTATGTGCCATCAAGTCGCCTGCAACTCACAGCAACCCTACGTACAACAGCCCTAAACCCTGCTCTATCCTGAGACAATCTTATTGTCTCTGACACACCCATCCCTATTATCCCATTCACTGAATCAATCCATCTCATCGAGAACTGTGAGAGAATAAATTCTTATTTGTTAGAGTTATCCACCTTTGGTATCTTTGTTGTAGCAGCACTACATAAACCAAATATTGGGTTACTTTAAAATACTCATCTTACCTACTGTGTTCCAGTTAGCCACTGCATCCTTGAAAAGTCTTACTGATTCCCACAGTTCACTCTTGGAAGAAAATAAAAGACATCAGCATATATGCACATACTTGTAGGTCAATCATTTTTAATGACTTAGGTTTCATCAAGAATTACACATACACACAAAGAATTATATACCCTTACCTTAGCACTGTGGATATAAAACGTTATGCTCCAACTTCCTAGATTAAAGTCAATCCAAAATTTCTCTAATTTTTCATTTTCTGGTCTTTTTAGCTGGAAAAGATAGTTACAGCATGAATTACATAAATCAATCATGTGCAATGGTCATGAGAACTACTTAAAGAAGTTTTCCCCAGAACTATTCTAATATTATGTTGTTCTTGTGATATGCCATCACTTTAAAACTAATTCATAGCTGACCCTCCAGTAGGTTTTCAGAAGCTAAAGACTGCACTGGAGAAGACTGCAGATCATTCTCCTGTTGAGCAGCTGGTGGATTCGAACTGCATGCCTTTGAATTGGCAAAGCAGCTCCTTACTACTAGATCACCAAAGCTCTTAACATTACAGAGTTTCTTTTTACTGCTTCACTTAAAAAGAGAAGAATCTCAAAAGAAATATTTAATGTGGACATTCCGAAGAAGAAAGTCCAGAAAACTTGGCTGAGTCATGATTTTTAGACCTTAGAAGATTTATACCCATGCATTCAGGTGATTGAGATTGACAGGCTTTTTACATGGTGGATCTATTTCCTCTAGAAAAAAAAAAAATTAAGAAAAAAAAGGAAAGAGGTAAAAACAAAACAAAACCACACCACCACCACAACAAACTGATCAGCCTCGGACTATAAAGGATTGAAAAAGCAGGCATATGTCCCTAACTTTATAGGAACAGACCAGGGTGTATCAAGTGAAGAAGCAAGCAAATGGTCCTTTTCCATACATCAGAATATGAATAAAGTTGCCCATTCATAAGGGAAAATGAAGCTACATTCTAATAATTCACCTCACTTGCACGGTATAAATGCTAAAATTCATCTATCAATTTTGTTGTTGTGTATCAGAGTCTCAGAACCAACCCATAGCTGACTCTCTGGCAGGTTTTCAGAGGCAGTTAATCACATGGGAGGAGATTGCCTATCCTCCCATGGCTGGTGGCCTCAAACCACGTCCCTTCAGGATTGCAGCACAGCTTCTTGCCACTAGACCACCAGAGCGTCCTTCTCTATCAACAGCCATGGAAATATATATATACACACACACACACACACACACTTTATATACATATATGTTATATATACGTTATATATACATACATACATATATATACATATATGCACATATATATACATACATATATACACATATATACATAAATATACATATATAAATATAAATAAGTTCTAAAACCCAGTTGCACTCAAGTCCATTCTCACTTATGTGTGTTAGAATAGAACAGCGATCCACAAAGTTTTAATTGGTCTGTTTTATGGAAGTAGATTCCAGCACTTTGTTCTCCAAGGTACCTCTGGGTGGACACAAGCCTACAAACATTCAGTTAACAGCTAAATGCACAATTTGCACCAGGAACACCAAGCAGCAATAACAGGGGCCTTAAAGTTAGTGATAATGTATGCATGGAATGACAAGAAATAGCGGAAAAGGAGAACATATTTTAGAGTGGAAATCTCTAGGAGGTGAAGTTAGCTCCCATTTGTAAAAAAGCTCTTCTCAGTAGAGTAAGCTGATTTGACCACACATACCTAACTCTACATTGTATTAAACATCACTTTTCAACACTTCCCCCATATCCCCAAAGGAAAACATACCTCATGGCCATCAGCAAAAGCAGCAAGACATGGAAATGAATAGATCCTGCAACACATCTCACAATTACATGGGAAAATATGTGGGAGTTAAGGCAATCTAGAAATTCTCTACAAATAAGCAGTTACTAATAAGGCATGCCATGGAGTCTCTTTTTACAATTCATAGCAGGGAGTCAGAACCTGCAAAGGGAGAGTGCCATCTGACAGTAAGTGATTCTGGTTTAGAAAATCACCTGCTGTCAAGTCAGGGACAACTCAAAGGGACTGAGTTATAGTAGAACTGTGATCCATAGGGTTGGTTTATTTACCGTAGGTCATCCCAAGGCAGGTCTCTATACTATATTATAAAAAGTCATTCTCAGTTTGTGATTTTTAAAATGACCACAATGTCTGATCCTTATGTTGTACATTACCTTTCCCCGCATTCAGTTTAATCTACTTAGTAATTTTTAGTCCCCTCTCCATTCATTCCCTTCTTTGGGAATCATCTAAATTCCATTTATAAAACCTTGCCTTAGCTTTTTATACTAGCATTCTAATAATAATTTATTTCTCTTCTCCATTCTTTATCTCTGTTAACCCTCCAAGATTCAGTCTATGTTCAACCCATTAGCTTTTTATATTAGTGATATTTTTCCATATTTTTCCTTTTCTGTCTGACTCATGTCACTCAGCATAATTTGTTCCCGTTTCAGTCATGCTCTGCAGTTCTTCACATTTTTTGATTGTTTTTGAGTATTTTTAACCCCCAGGGGTTTTAACCTCTGGTTTTTGTGAACTAACTAAATAGCTCTTTCTTCCAAGACACTTCTGGGTGAACTCAAACAACCAATTTTTCAAAGAGCAGTCGGATGAATCAACTATTAGCATCACCAGAGATTCTAAGCTAAGTTTACTGGTACTGCATACCATTACCCCATCCTTTTTGTCACACTATGACGATGATGATCTGGGAGTTATGTTGTCAGATTTAAAATATCAGTAAGGTCAGGTTTCCACCAAGATTCCAGAAGAATGACAATAAAGAGACCAGACACTTATGAAATAATGGGATCTTTTAAATATTATGCATAGACTAAAACTGTCTAATACAGTCACAGAAGATAAGGTACTTCAGTTAGAAGGCACATAAAATATGATGAGTCCCTCAGATTAGAGTCTACCTTAATGGCAAGAATAGAAAAAAAAATTTTCAGTCAATGATAAAGGGCCTTCATTTGCTGATGTGACATGACACCCGAAGAAATAGCTGCAAACATTCATTAATCTGGGCAGTAAAAAGTATGTTTCTAGGAAAATGTGAAGTTGTGAAAATTAAATGGAATACATAATAATTTCTATTTTAGGTATGAATGAACTGTAATAATGGGGGATGGTGTGTTAGAATCAGTGATACTGGCTCAGGACAGGACAGGCTTCAGAGATGCGGTACACATGGTCACTATGGGTCACAGGTGACTCGACAACACATAACAATGAACTAAAGATGAACCAGTCATATGATCTACCATGATGTTGCTGTTATGTGCCATTGAGTTGCCTGAGACTCATAACGACCTCTATGTACAAGAGCTCTAAACTAGCTCCAACCTAGCCATCTCAAATGCACTCATTCCCACCATCTCAGTCACAGAATCAATCCATCTCATAGAAGGTCTTCCTCTCCTGCATCGCCCATCCACTCTGCCAAACATGATGTCCCTCTCCAAGGACCAGTCCCTCCTTGCAACATGCCCAAAGTATGTCAGACTAAGTTTCAGAATCCTTGACTCCAAGGAGCATTCTGGCTTCACCTTCTCCAGGACAAACCTGTTTGTTCTCTTAGCAGTCCATGGTATATTCAACACTCTTCTCCTGCACCACAGCTCAAAGGCATCAATTCTCTTTCTATCATCCCTATTCACGCACTCTCTGATGCATAGCATGTAATTGCAAAGACTGTAGCCTGGATCAGGTGCACCTTAGTCTCCAGCCTGACATCATTGCTCTTCAGTACTCTTGAGAAGTCTCTCACAGCTGACTTTCCCAATGCAATTTGTCTCTTGATTTCCTGGCTGCTGTTACCAAGAGTGTTGACTGTAGAGCCAAGCAAACTAAAATTGTTAACTATCTCAATCTCTTCACCATTCATACTGATGCTGCCAATTGGTCCAGTGGTGAGAATCTTTGTTTTCTTGATGTTGAGCTTCAGTCCATATAGGAGGCTGCAATCCTTGACCTTCTGCAGCAAACACTTCAAGTCCTCCTCAGTTTCAGTAATCAGGGTTGTGTAATCTGCATAACACAGGTTGTTGATGACTCTTCCACCAATCCTGATGCCACATTCCTCCTCATACAGCCCAGCGTCTCAGATGATCTGTTCTGCATACAGATTGAAAAGGTATGGAGACAGAATACATCCCTGATGGACCCCCTTCTTGATTTTGAACCGTGTAGTGTCTCCTTGCTCTGCTCTGATGACTGCCTCTTGGTCCAAGTATAGGTTTCACATTACAAATTGAAGAGGAATGACATTGCATTCATAATAAAAAAGACCATTTCAACATCTATCCTGAGGTACAATGTAATTGTAATTATGATGTAATAGGACAATATTCCTAAGCATACAAGGAAGACCTGCTCATTCCAATTTTATTGAAATGTACATATTAACTACAACAGCCAAACATGAAAAAAGGACTATTCCTACCAATTTCTGTAGTGAAGTAGATAAAATATGCAAAAAGAAATATTAAATATAAGTTAGCAATGGTAATGCAAAAGTTGGAAATGAAGAATAAGGATTAGTAGTTGGAAAAGATGATCTTAGTGATATTAACTAGGCCAGATACAACTCATGACAGAATTCTGTATTACCAACAACTTATTTATTACCAACACTTTATTTAGCAAACATAAATGATTACTATGCACACGGATCTCACAAGACAGAATATATAGGAGTTAAATGGACTATATTTGTAGAAATAATTATTGGAGAAGCTCAACATCATCAGTCTGAACAAAGAAGGCAGGGGTCAACTGTGGAAATTACCATCAACTGCTCATATGCAAGTTTAACTTGAATCTGAAGAAAATAAAGCCAAGTCCATAAAAAGTCAAAATATGACCTTGAACATATCCCACAGGGATTGAGAGACCATCTCAGAAATAGATTTGCTACACTGAACACTAATGACTGAAGATTAGACAATGTGTGGGATAACATCAAGGACAACATACACGAAAAAGAACAAATCAAAGACATAAATCAAACTGTAAGTCAGAAGAAACACTGAAACTTGTTCTGTAATGTAGAGTAGTTAAAGTGAAAGAAAGACATGAAATAAGAGAATTTATCTTAAAAGGCAGCTTAAGAAGACATGGAAAATTATAATTAAATAAGAGACACTGGAGAATCTCAGTATTGGCAGTCAAAAAACACAGGTTTATGTAACAGACAATCAACTACTCAAATGCATCTTCAACCTGAAGGTGAAGAAAATGAAAACAAGTCCACGAGAACCAAAATATGACCTTAAGTGTATCCCAGTTGAATTTAAACATGATCATAATAATGTTGTTTTTGCATACCACATAACAGACTCATAGCTGACCCTCCAGTGGGTTTTCAGAGGCTGTACATTACACAGGAAGAGACTGCCCATCTTTCTCCTATAGAGCAGCTGGAGGATTCAAACTCCATTCCTTTGTGTTGATAGTGTAACTCCTTAACACTAAGACATCAGAGCTCCCTATCTTAAGAATAGATCTAACTGAAAATTAATGACTGAAGACCAGATGAATTCTGGAATGACATCAGATCATCATCCAAGAAGAAAGCAATAGGTCATTAGAAGGACAGGGAAGAACAACAGACAAAAACGAGTCTCAGAAGAAACTCTGAAACTTGCATTGGAACAAAAAGAAGTCAAAACAAGAGGAAGAAATGCTGATATAAGAGCTGAACAGAAGATTTTATCAGGCAGTCTGAACTGACAAAGCAAAATATTATGACACAGGCAATAAATTGGAGTTAGAAAAATTAAAAGGGAAGAATACACTCAACATTTCTCAATCTGAAAGAACTGAAGAATAAATTCAAGCCTTGAAACATTTAAGAGTTCTATAATAAAAATCTTGAATGAAGCAAAAAGCATCAAATTAAAATGTAAAGTTTGTATAGAATCCCTGTACCAAAATAAAAAGGTCAATACTTAATCATTTCAGGAAGGTTCATATGATTAAGAACTAATGAAAATAAAGGCAGATGTTCAGGCTGCACTAAAATTACTGGCCAAAAAAAAATAAGGCTTTAGGAATATGATATAATTCTAAAAGACATGTTTCAACAAAAAGATGCAGCCCTGGACATGCTCACGAATTTACACCAGAAAATTTGGAAGGCAGCTACCTGATCAACTGACTAGAAAAGATCCATGATTGGTTCTTATTTTAAAAAAAATCGGATGCAACAGAATGTAAAAATTACCCAACAATATTATTAATACACATATAATAATCACTGAAGATCACTCAAAAATGGAAATGAACTTTCAGAAATTCAAGCTAGACTCAGAAGAGGCTGTAGCATGAAGAATCTCATTCCTGGGTCAGATGAATCTTGGCTGAATACCAAGGAATACCAGAGAGATGTTTACTTATGTTTGACTGGTGATGCAAATGTATTAGACTGTGTAGATCATAACAAATTATGGACAGCATTTGGAAGAAAGGGAATCCCAGAATACTTAATTATGCTCATGAGAAATCTATATACAGACCAAGCAGTAATCTGAACATAACAAGGGCATGTGTGCATGGCTTAAAAATGAGGAAAGATGTGCATCAGGGTTTTATCTTTTCTTTTTATCTATTCAACCTGTATGCTGAGCAAATCATTAGAGAAATTAGACTATATGAAAAAGAACATGGTTTCAGGATTGGAGGAAGGCTCATTAACAATCTGTATTATTTAGATGACACAATCCTGCTTGCAGAAAATGAAGGTTTGAAGCACTTACTGAAGAAGATGAAAGTCTGTAACCTTCACTATGGAATGCATCTCAACATTAAGAAAGCAAAATCTCCTCCCCACTGTAACAATCAACATTTTACAGCAGAAAAAAAAAAATCAAACCACAGATGACATTGGGCAAATGTGCTGCCCAGGACCTCTTTAAAGTGTTAAAGAGCAAGAATGTCACCTTAAAGACTTAAGATGCTCTGGCTCATGCCATGAAATTTTGAATAGCCTCATATGCCTATGAAAGTTTTACCATGAATTGTAATAGAACTTGATAATGAATAGGAATTTGAATTGTGAGGCTGGCAAATAATACCTAATGTATCAATTGTCAAAAGAACTGATGAATCAATATGCAGAGAAGGCCTAATATTCTCACCTCTGTACTCAATAGACCACTATTTTATTGTGGTTAAATGCTGTTCAGTCCAATATGACTTGTATCAACTCTATAAACAAGAGACCTGAACCCTGCGTTATCCCTATCATCTGACACACTAGAGCCCATTGCTGAAGCCACTATGTCAGTTCATCAGTTTAGAGTCTTCCTCTCCTTCACTGACACTCCATCTTTCCAAGCATGACATCCCCTTCTAAGGAATAGCCTTGTTTAGCTACATGTCCAAAGTATGCGAGACAAAACTTCACCATCCGAGGAGCACCCTGGCTTTCTCCGAGACATATAGGTTCGTTCTATTGTCAGTCCATTGGATATTCAGGACTGTTCTCCAGCCCTACAACTCAAAGACATCAATAATTCCGTTGTCGCTCTTGGTCACTGTTCAGCTCTCTGATGTGTGGCAGGTGATTTGATCAAGGCCTCAATCAGGCATACCGTAGTCTTTAGGCTATTCAACTTTGCTATTCAGTATTTTGGAGAGGGCCCCAACAGTGGACTTGCCCAGTGCAATATATCTCCTGCTCTCCTGAGGATTGTACCAAGGGTGTTGATTGTTGATCTGAGCTATATAAACTCATTGACAGCTCTTCAATCCTGTCTCCATCTACTGTAATGTTGACTTTTGGTCCTATGATGAGGACCTTTGTATTCTTGATGTTGAGATGCAATCCATATGAAAGGTTGTAGTCTTTGATCTTCTCCAGCATTTCATATCCTCCTCACTTTCAGCAAGCAAGGTTGTTAATGAATCTTCCTCTGATCCTGATGCCACATTCCTCTTCATAACTTCCAAGTTCACAAATTATTTGCTCAGCATACAGACTGAATAGGTATTAGATTGTTCTTTTTAAATGTTAGACTTTTTCAGACTACAACTAGTAAATAAAGTAACGTAGCTAAATTTATAGACAGACATCTTACCTTCTTTGGTCACCAAGGCTGCTGTTCAGCTGATTTAGAAACTGTCTACAGTCCTGCCAAGTAAATAATGCAAACTTATTTTAAATGGGGGGGGGCTGGGGAAGGAAATTCAAGATACCCAATTTAAATATTAGACTTATTAACTGTAGAGGACAATGTTGCTTTTAAAATTCCATTGTCCAGTAACATCACAATGCTTCACAAGGATTCATTTTTATATGTTAACTAAAACTGCTGTTTGTATAACAAAGATGGGTCTCAAGACACATGTTTCTGGCAGGAACCCTGCACCTCATTATGAAATTTTTGGATGAGGAATATGTATATCTTTGAAAATCAAAGGCACAATTACATTTAACCCAGCTGGGAAAGTAAACTAGAGAAATGCAACTTACCAGTAACTTCCATTGTAACATGTGGTGTCCTGTTAGCAAAGCACCTGCTGACCCTCCAGTGAGTTTAATATTTTTTTCTTTTTATTATTATTCATTTTAATGAAAATTTACCGACATTTTGGATTTCCATTCATTCACTTTGCACTTTTCTCATTGTACTGTTCTCCCTGCCAACCCCTTCACTCTAGTTCGTTCTTCTCTTTGAAAAGCAAAAGGAAAATTCTTTCATTGTTGGACAAACCCTACCCTCAAGTTCACTCCACTAGGCAGCCTTCGTCTGGACTCATGTCACGACAGTAATACCTAATCATATATACCTTTTAAACAACTCTCTCTCTCTCATCTGTTTCAATGCAGTATACATAATTTATCCCATCTCTCTCAGTCTCCCTCCACCACCCCAATCCCTATATCAGTCCTGTTTTACAACAGTGGCACTATGCGGTGAGTAACTGAAGGCAGTAACTGAAAGGAGATTGACCATCTTTCTTCCAAGGAGCAACTGGTGGTTTTGAACCACATGCCTTATTAGCAACTCAACTTCTTACCACTAGGGCATCAGAGTTCCCTAACATGACAAATCCATTTACATTTTGGACTTGTCTGGGTACCTTATCCTTTGCCAATTTTATCAGAATTTTGATCACCTTATTTCTTCAAGAGTTCTTTATATATATATCAATCCTTCTATGGAATATATATTTAATGAGGAAGGGTGTGTTTGCAGTTTACACTATCAACAACTATTAGGAACATAAATGTCCTGCTCCTCAAATTCTAAATGCAAACTCAGACACTGATTCAGGTTCTTTTTCTATTCCACTGCTGAATGTTAGTTGTTCTATTCAAACATTCTCACAGTGGGTGTCTAAATTCAACACTAATGAGACATCAGTAATATAAATCATAAAAAAGCAGTTCAATTAAAATACTGAACCTCTGAGGGAATAACAATTTCAGAAGCAAGATCATTACATCTACCCTATCTTCATCAAAGAGAAGGGAATAGTGCAAAGGAAAAAGAAAACTGTCTCTGGAACTTTTCTGTAACATCCCAGCCATTTTCTGCTTTCCTCAAAATTCAGAGGTGATTATAACACTGATTTTACAGATCAGGAAACAGACTCTCCAAATCAATTACCTCATTCAAACACTTACATTGGTAAGAGACAAAGGATTCACACCAAGATCAGAGTGTCACTTTGGTCTGGTCTTTCTTTCCAGTTAAATGATACTGAATCTCAGCTATGTATCTATATATGTGGCAATCTGCTCCAAGTCAGAGCTAATGAGTTTTAATTTCATAAAATCCCCTATTATGCTGCAGTTTTTATCAAAAAGACCTGATTTAACTCAGACTATTTCTTTCTTATATGGTCAATGGTGTTGAAGATGTTTAAGCTGTTCTGAAAGAATTAAAAAAACAAGACTCCAGGAATTGATGGAATACCAACTGACATATTTCAACACATAGATGCCACCCTGCATGTGCTCACCAGGTTGTGTAAAGAAATCTGGAGGACAACTACTTATCAAATTGACTGGAAAGAGGTCCATATTTATTCCCATTCCAAAAATAGGTGACCTGGCAAGAGTGTAGATATTATAGTACAATATCACTCATAGTACACGCAAATTCCTGCAAAATTATCCAAAAATTACTGGAACATCAACAGAGAACTACCAGAAGTGCAAGTGGGGTTTAGAAGAGGCCATGACCTGTTGGTTGTAAATAAAACGGAGTGGGCTCTCGTGTTTATAAAAAAAAAAAAAAAAAAAAAGAGGCCATGACCAATGTCAGAAGGATCCTGGTTGAAAGCAAAGAGTACCAGAGGAATGCCTATCTGTATTTTATTGACTATGCAAAGACATTTGATTGTGTGGATCACAACATACTGTTGCTAACCTTGAGGAGAATGGGAATCCCAGAACACATGACTGTGTCCACGTGAAACCTATGCTTGGACCAGGAAGCAGTACTCAGAACAGAGCAAGGAAACACTGCAAGGTTCAGAATCTGGAAAGGAGTGTGCTAGGGATGCATCCTGTCTCCATACCTTTTCAATCTGTATGTGAAACAGATCATTCTGAGGGCTGGACTTTATGAGGAATGTGGCATCAAGATTGAAGGAAGACTTAACAGTAACTTGCATTATGCAGATGACACAACCCTTTTTGCTAAAACTGAAGAGGACCTAAAGCATTTGCTGCAGGTCAAGTAATGTAGTCTTCAACCTGGATTGAAGCTCAGCATCAAAAGACAGAGTCTCACCACTGGGTCAACTGGCAGCACCATGATAGATGGAAGAGACTGAGATTGTTAACAATTTCAACTTATTCAGCTCCACAGTCAACAGTCTTGACACCAAATGCAAAAAAGCAATTATGTCAGTCTAGAGACTAAAGTGTGCCTGATCCAGGCCATGGTCTTCACAATTACTTGCTATGCATCAGAAAGTGGATCAATTACTAAGGTTGATAGAAGAATTGATGCTTTTTAGTTGTGGTGCTAGAGAAGAGTCTTGAACATATCATAGAATAGACTGCCAAGAGAACAAAGAGGTCTGTCTTGGAGAGGGTGAAACCAAATTTCTCCTTGGAGGCAAGTATTTTGAATCTCTGTATCACATATACTTCGGGCATGTGGCGAAGAGGAGCTAATCCTTGGAGAAGGACACCATGCTTGGAAGGGTGGAGGGATAGTGCAGGAGAGGAAGACCTCAGATGAGATGGGTTGATTCAGTAACTGGGGGAGCGGAGACAGGCATGGTAGCAAGACTGGCTCAGGATAGGGTAGGTTCAGAACTATTATATAAAGGGTCTCTATGAATTGCAGACAAATCGATGGCTTATAGCAACAACAGCATGTCTAAAAGGCCTATTATCCAACCCTTGCTTTGGATAAATCATGGGAAGATCAATCACCAAAAGAAACTTACATATTTGGTGAATGGTCAGCACAGGCAGCAAGTGAGACCTTTGATGAGATGGACTTGCAAATAGCCACTAAATTAGATTCAGACATGCTGGTGATTGTGAGAATAATGCAGGAGCAGACATGTTTCATTCTACCTCATGTGGGCACCCATGAGTCAGTGTCAACTCGATGGGAGCCAACAACGTGTATGAAATAGAAAGTTCAAGAATGCAAATTTAATCACATGTGAGTGAAATATCTCAGTCACAAAAGGACAAATACTGCGTAACGCCATTGTTAGAAAACAGGACTGACATGGAGTTGGGGAAAATTAAGAAAAGAGGGGATAAATAATGAACACTGGATTCGAACAGATGAGAGATAGAACTGTTTAAAAAGAATATGATTAGGCATTATTTCCATGACAACAGTCCTGAGTAACAGATGCAAAGTGAAGTAGAGTGGGGGAAAGGGAGGAAATAAAAGCAAACTGGAGGCGTGGTAGGAAGGAAAATGTGCAACAATGAACGAATGGAAATCCATGTTTTCTATAAACTTTCATTGAAATCACAATTTAAAAATTACTTTTAAAAAAGTAAAAGTACTTACTAAGCCTAACATAAGGCGTTCTGCTGACTTAGTCTATACGGAGTTACTTGGTCAACCCAAAGATTGTGCCTCTCTGGGAAATGAAAGTCCCCTAAAGTTCCTCCAAAGAAAGATGGTCAATTTCCTTCTGCGGAATTTACAGTCTAGGAAATCCAATGAGCAGTCAACTGTGGGTTCGTTCCAACCCGGTAGTAATGAGTTTGAGGGTTGGTTTGTTGTAAACCTAACATATCAAAACTTATGGAATGGATGCTTAAAGAGAGTATTTAGGACCAATCTTACCGTCTCAAATTCTTGGTCCTTAATTTTCTTAAAAACATCAGCAATAAGATCATCTTCAAACCATTCATGTACAAATTCATGCCTGGATTTTTTAGCCACCAGTCTACACAGTGCTTCAGAAATAGAAGTCTGCTGATCATAATCTATAGAGTGAAAACATGGTAAACATGGATAGTTTTGGACTTGAAAATAAGACATGAGTTCCACATAGTATTTTCTCTAAACTCTAAGAAATCTCATGTTAGAAACTAGTAAAAGATTACAGGCAATGAGAGATATTCTGGAGGAAGTAGACATTTCACTTTAAAGTTTAAGAAACATTAGAAGAGGCGTGGTACACAGTTTTTAGAAAAATCAGTAACACAAAATCAAAATGACAACATGTTCCCAGGACAAAGCTCAGAAGGAAAGTAGGAATATGATACAAGGACCAGATGAGATTCACATGGATTAAGAGTGAAGAATGTTGTTAGGAAATGAGAATTGTGGGGAGGGGTGGGAAGGGAAAAAAAGACAATAATGAATGAATGGGGGGGGGAAATGTATCAAGGATTTAATGAAAAACCAGTATGCTTTGTAAATGTTCAAATAATAAAAAAAAGAAATGATAATTATAATTGGTATCAGGATACAATCTGTATGGATGATTAAATAGAAAACCAATTTTCTCTGTAAATTTTAAATTTCTGTTCAAAACAGTTAACTACTGGGAGAAAACTTTGAACAATATATCATTACTTTAAACAGTAAGAATTCTGAGTTTATATATCACATAGAATATTTATGAAAACAATCTTATGAAACAGCCTGAAGTTTAAAAAATTTCTATGACAAAAATAAAATTCCAAAATAAACTGTTATTTTACAGCAGAAAGACTGAAACTCCATGTACTAACAGGTAACATGTAAGAGGAAAAAGCAAGCTGCACAGGGATACATACTATATTTTTTTTCCAATTCAAGACAAAATCATTTTATACCTATTACATAGAGTAAAATTATAAAATGTTTAGGAATGGAAAACTTCAACGTAAGGTCACTTCCACCAATAAGGAGGGGAACAGAATCAGGAACATGGGCTCTGAGGGCTTTATTTGTAATTCCATTTTATTAAAATTGAAGCAAATTTTAAAAAAAGTTAAAAATGAATAAAACTGCTTAGTTAGTAAATGGCCAGTAAACATTTTTAGATTATCTCACTTTGAGTAAAAAATCTAGAATTTTTTTAGAATTTGACTATTATTTTACTCTTCACAATTTCACGACACCCTCCATGTACAAGATTTATTATTCTAAAATTTAAAATGCTGTGCATTTCTTACCACCAACAGTCAAAAGTGTCCTTGCAAGGTCTTTCCTGAAACATTAGAGAAATGATATTTTAAAAAAATGAATTCTCAACAGGCACAACTTTACTCTATGGCACTAAATTTGAAAATCAAATCCTTCATTTCCAACTTTTGTATTCTAATCATTAATTATTGATGCATCTTAATTGCACATTTGCTCAATTTAAGACCACATAAGTTGGTAGAAGCCCTCAATTTATTTATCTTTAGCTTTAGTAATTGGTGAGTATATTTTAGTAATAGTTGTATTATCTGTGGGCTGATTGTAGGCTGACTGCATAATCTGCAGGCTCAGAGAACTTTGGCTTTGAGAAACAGTACACTGTAGGAATAACCTGAGGTAGAGTTGGTCCTTGAAGGGAGAAGTGATTGAGTAGGATGATGGAGAGAACACTGCTCACTACATGGTGAGTACTGGGTGGGTGGGCTCAGGGAGAAGGAAGAGACAGGACCTTTTCAGCTGTGTGGATATAGTTGCTGTTGCTGCTGCTGCTGCTGCTGCTGCCGCCGCCGCCGCCACCACTAGCTCTTCTAATTCTCAAGCCACATAGATGGATGTGGAGTATGGCCATGCTGCATTATTTATGGTTCTGTGTTCTCCTGCTCTTTCCAGCTGATCCTTCAATCCCCTTTCACAACTGCTATAGATGCCTCTACCTCTGCTGCTTCTGCTCCCACCATCCTCAAGGTTCCCTGGTTCCCAGGCTACATCAGTGTTCAAGATATCTGCATTGTACTGTTTACAGTTCTGTGTTCTGTTGCTCCCTTTATTCACTGTTTCAACTCAATCTCTTCCTTCAGTGTTTGTTGTACCTTTTCATCTTTCTTTTAAAATTGTGAGATGACTAGGTCTATACAAACATCAGTAATGAAGAGAAGACTCTGTGGACTGTCAGAGTATCCTCAAGTGTATAAGTCCCAAGGACACAGACGAGCTAGCTGCTATATTACAGAGGGTAGCAATGATCTGCATGATCTTCTGGAGGAAGCTCTGGAGTGACAGGGACTCTACCTCACCCATGCACAAAACAGAACCACTGGGCTTATGCTTGCAGCTTTATCTTTGACTTCAAATTTTAGAACACCTCAGACCTTGTAAGACCCACAAATAATAAAGTAGAATGATCACAGGATTGACTTCAAATGTAAGGGGAAACATCAGGTTAGCGGCTCTTCAAATCTTAATATACCACTAAAAGTAACCAGGAGATGTCTTGCACTGGCTAAGTCCATGGTCAGTGAATTCTCCAAAATGCTGAACAGCAATTATGTCAGTTTGAAAACTAAGGTTGTGCCTGATTCAGGCCATGGTCTTCTCAATCATCTGCTATGTATCAGAGAACTAGACAATGAAAAAAGATGACAAAAAGAATTAATGCCTTTGAGTTGCGCTGGATAAGAGTACTGAATATCCCATGGACCGCCAAAAGAACAGCTAAATCTTGGGACAAGTGCAGCCAGAGTTCTCCTTAGAGGCAAAGATGGTGAAGCTTCGTCTTTCATACTTTAGGACATGTGGTCAGGTGAGGCTATTTGTTGGAAAGGGACATCGTACTTGGAAATACAAAGTTAGTGAAGGAAAGGAAGACCACCAACAAGACACAGTGACTTCAGCAAAGTGTCAGAGATGATGATGATGACACAGGATAGGGCAGACAGCAGGTCAGCTGTTTGTAGAGGCATTATGAACTGTACTCGACAGCACCTAACAACAAAAGTAATGATTTTACTAGTGTGTCCCATCAGCATTTTTAAGGGAAAAAAAAAAATCAGTGGAAAAACTATATCCTGCAAAAAGCTCTTTAAATGACTAACACAATAGCAGAAAGCTCTTCATGTCATTCAGATCCTCCATGTCGACGCTGTCTCTCTTATCTCCATTGAGAACGATGTGTTACAGTACAGATGGTGTGTCACAGAGATGCCTTTAAGGCTGGTTCCGTGACTAGCATGGCGCCCCCATGTTTCACTGCAATTTCAAACCAAAATTCTGGGCCACTAGGAAAACAGAGTGATGATTTCTAAAAAAAAAATACTAAAAAACCACAATGTATGTGAACAATAAAAATATGTAAAAAGTTAACAAAGGTTTAGCACATTGTTAGATGCCATTGAGTCAACCACTCCTAGTGAACACATTAAACAACAAATTAAAACTTTATTCCAACCTGTGCCCTCTTCACCATCTCCATCACTCCCAAGCCAATTGTTGAAGACACTGTGTGAATTTACCTCATTGAGAGTCTTCTTTTCTTTTAGCTAGCAAGCAGCAAAGCCAACTTTTGAACCCAAGCAGTGTGATCCTATATTGTGGCTCAAAGCCACAATGGAAAAAGGTACCTAAAGCCTGAAGATCTGTTTCTCCTCATAAATTTAATGCAAAAATCCAAACTATTTGAAAAGAAGATCTTAGCAAAGTTTAGTCTTTTTTCCCCTCCATAGTGCTTAGTCCTTCTTCACTGTTGGTCATAGCACATGATACATAGCAGGTACACAAAGCATTTGTTGAAGAACATAAAGACAGAATCAGGTCTAAAGAACAAAGAGTATCAATAATGAGAGATTTCATCATTACATTTAAAAAACTTAAGTCAATGCCACTTACATAAAAAGACGAGTGCCTTCTAGCACAGAACATTTGTTTCTCTCTTCTCGAGGTATAGTCGCCAAAATACTGTTCAGTGTAGTCAAGGCCTATTCAGAGGAGGAGAAAGCGTTCATGGTGAGGAAACAAGATGAAAACCTATGTGAAACTTGATCTGGATTTCTAGGGAATTGTTACCCCTTTAATTATTGCAGCTCACCTCCTGCCCAATCACATGAGTTAGAGTCTGTTCTGTCACCAGGAATCCCAAACAAAATATGAAGGAATCCAACATCTGAATTTTCCCTGAAAGCACAATTTACTATTTTCAAAATTTATGCAGAAAGGATGATCCCTACACCACAAAAGGTAGCAAAGACCAAGAGTCATAGGCATAATAAATTTTTCAGATATTATAAACTGAAAGGACAAACTACAGAACCTCCATCAGCCATGATATACTATGCATTCCAGAGATACTCATGAAAGGACCAGTACATTTGCTGACCACACCTTATGAAAATCACAGCCTAAGCCAAGCTTCCTTTTCAATGGAGTAAGCAATGTGCAAAAGACATTTCTTACACAGTTCGCTGGTGTTTTTTCCCATCTGTGCATTGTATTGAAAAAACCCTTTTCTACAATCATAACAAAACAGAGAAGCAGGAATTGTTTCAAAAACAGCATAATCAGAGACACTTTAACATGTACTTACATGTCAGTACAGAGTGAAATAAAGGGTATGGAGCAAGATTTTATGCTTACTAAATAATAAACACTTTATGGTTTCATTCATACACATTATGACTTGAAATGGTAATAGAAACGTGATTTTTAGATTATTTACCAGATACTGAGCATGCAAATAGGGAGCTCTGGTGGCTTAGTGGTTAAGGAGTTGTATTTCCAATCTAAAGCCAGATAGTTTGAATCTACCAGCTTTTACTGGGGAGAGAATGATGGGTAGCCTCTTTCCACACTACTTATAGCCTCTAAAAATCCACTGGAAGGTCAGTTCTGACTCCTTGAATGAGTTCTGGTTCATGCGGTTTTTAAGCATGCAAAAACTTCTAGTAGTGAATTTCCTCATTGGAAGATACTAAACATTGTAAAAAAAAAAAAAGTAGCAAATTGTACCACTAGACAACCAGAGCTCCCTATATGAAAAGGCATACTTACTTTAAGAAGGTCTGTTTCTGAAATTTCAAATATTTAAGTACCTTTTTGAACCTAGGATATCACAATTTAAAAATGTCAAATTTTATTTAATTTGGGCTACAGTGTGCAAAATCACCAAACTCTTAAATGCTCCCTTTTCCCCACTCCTAAAAGACAAAGAAAGGCCTTCCAGCCAGCTCACATAAACCTGCTGGTTTGGAATGACAAAACCTTTTCTTGGGTAGAGCTAAGCAGATGGTGACAGAAGGTGCTAAACAAAAATATTCTTCAGGTAAACCAAGATATTGTTTGTGACAAATCATTTCCGTATCAAACAACTATCAAAGATCAGTCAATAAATACAAATCATAGTTTCTAAAGCCACTTTCCCCCCCCACTGTGCAACTTGCTTCAAGTGCCTGAAGCCTATGAACAAAGAGGCCAGGCAATGGTTCAGGACTACATTTTTCTCTGGCATGGAACTCTATGACAGACCCACGAGGACAGGCCTGCCATAAATCCAAACCCATATTTTCTAAACCCACTTTTATATACCATTTAGATTAAAAATCATTTATCTGCACCACGATATTCCATAGAGGAGTTAAGGCACTTACCTTTACTGCTACTCTTCGAAATAATCTAATAAGAAGGAAAAAAAAAACGCTTATAGTATAAAATTAACATTATAAACTATAATTATCAATGCACGAATGCTGAAATTTACCTAATTACTGGAAAACTTTAACTACAAAAGATAGCACTAGTACAACTGGTTGCATATATGTATGGCTGAGTGGCAAGAAGCTGCACTACAGTCCTGAAGGTATGTGGTTCAAATCTGCTAGCTGCTCTGTGGGAGAAGGATGGGGGAATCTCCTCCCATGTGAATGCCTGTCAGAGGGTCAGTTATGGGTTGGTTCTGACTCAAAGGTACACAACAATAACCTATATCTACCTATTTATCTATCTACATATAGAATTAATCTGTTTCCATTGTTGTTGTTATAGTTATGTGCCATCAAGTCACTTGCAACTCATAGCGACCCTATGTACAATAGCCCTAAACTCTGCTCTGTCCTGTGCCAATCGCACTGTCTCTGACACTCCCATCCCGATTATCCCAGTCACTGAATCAATCCACCTCATAGAGGGCCTTCCTCTCCTGCGCTGTCTCTCCACCCTCCCAAGCATGATGTCCTTCTCCAAGGACTGGTCTCTCCTCACAACATGTCCAAAGTATGTCAGACGGAGCATCAGAATCCTTGCCTTCAAGGAGCCACCTGGTTTAACCCTCTCCAGGATGAACCTGTTTGTTTTCTTAGCAGTCCATGGTACATTCAACACTCTTTTCCAGCACCATAGTTCAAAGGCATCAATTCTCCTTATTTCATTATACATAATATTCTAATAATCTAGGAATCTTTTTACAAAGGAACTCTGAAGGCTCTGTGGTCAAGGTATTTGGCTGTTAAACAACAGGTCAGAGTTTCAAATACATGAGCTGAACTGACAAAGATGAATCCTACTCCCATAAAGGTTTTTCTCATGAGCGCTTAACAGTGCTCTATGAAACCTATACATAGGCCAAGAAGATGTTGTTGAAACAAAACAAGGAAAAGGTATGCATGAGAGGTGCATCCTTTCTCCATACTTATTCCATTTGTTTGTTGAGTAAATAATTTGAGAAGATGGAGTGTATGAAGAATGTGGCATCACAGCTGGAGGAAACTCAGCAACTTACATTATACAGATACAACCTTGCTAGTAGAAAGTTAAGAACTTAAAGCACTTGCTGAAGAAGATCAAAGGCCTTCAATATGAGTTACATCATAACATCAAGAGAACTAAAATTCTCCCACTAGAACAATTGGCAACATGATGATAACTGGATAAAAGACTGAAGTTATCAACAATTTCATCTTACTCAGATTCACAATCAACACCCATAGTAACAGCAATAAAAAAAACATCAAAAGAAGTGTTGAAGTGGGGAAATTTGCTGTCAAGGATCTCTCCAAAATGCTAATGTGTTAGGATGTCCATTTAAAATAAAAGAAGAACAAAAATAAAACAAAAAATAACTAAAGGGCACCTGATCTAAGCTATGGTCTTTTCAGTTTCTTCTTCTGCATGTGAAAGTTGGACAATGAATAAGGAAGAAAGAAGAGTTGACGTCACTGAACTGTGATGTTTGAGAAGAGTCCTGAATATCCCATGGATCACTAAAAAGAACAACCTAGTCTTTCTTTAAGGAAGTGCAACAAGGGTGCCCTTAGAGACAAGGATTGCAAAAGGTCCTTTCACATACTTTTTGGCATGTTGTGAAGAAGGGCCAATCCTTGTAGAAGTATATCATTTTTGGAAAGGTAGAGGGTCAAAGAAAGAGTAAGACCTTCAACAAGATGGACTGACACAGTATCTGAAACAAGTGTATTGGGTAGTGAAATGCAGGATAGACCAAGGTTCAACTCTATCATTCATAGAGTTTCTGAGTCGTATCAACCAGAGGACACCTAACAATAATTTCCATAAAGATTTTACAGGCTCTGAAATCCTATGCGAGCAGTTCTACTTCTCTCCTAAATGTCACCATAAGTATGAATCAACTCTATAGCAGGGAGGGTTATTTTTGTTTTCCAAAGACACCAAACTTTTAGAAATACCTTGAAGATTTCTGAGAACTACCAATATCTACTCTGCGAAGCATCCACTCATATCCTTACCAATGCTGTGTCAAAAAAATCTGTGGTGGCAATTAGAGCAGGGTTTAAGGCTACATCTTTTTCGGTGAGAAATCCTCTTGTTTTTTCAAACCAGGAAACCATGTACACAAGAGAAGAAACAGAGATAGAACCACGTTATAACCAAATAACACAGTCTAGTCAGCAGAATGTCATAATTCTCTCACTAAAACATCATCAATTCAAAAATCTTTTCCCCATTCCAAATCATTTCAATGAGTCCTGCCTCTGGAGCCTACAGCTAAGCACACTCAAGGATGGAGGCGTATCATTAACAAGGTGAAATCCAGAAGAGAACTGGGTGTCTGGGATCAACTCAGGAAAGTCTGTATAAAAGTCTTGTTTGGAGACTCTTACTGGTACAAACTGTTTACATGCTAAATGAAAGACTGGAAGCTGTACGGCTTGGGAAAAAGACCTGGCAATCTCCTGTCCAAGAACATAGCCCATAATTAACTCTATGGTATACAGTTCTACTCTAGCACCATATGTTAACTGGTGGTAGTGGTAGATAAGGATTAAAAAAGAATAAACGTCTCTAATCCAAATAAACTCTTATCCTCTGGGAATTAATTGAAGACAAAAAATAGCTGGTTTAGTAATTAATTATGTCTCAGGCCTATTTTTCCCCTCTCCCTAAAAAAGCTTCCAGTTACAGAATTTGTTTTCCCTGCCCTCTGAGGACATATATTCCATTTGGTATTAAGTTGCTACACCTGGGCATGGTTTAGAATGCATTTCTATAAACCCTCCCAGAACATATTTCATTTAGACCTTTTTTCCCTGACATTTGCAGTGAGGGAAAAATAATCTTGCATGGAAATCACAATGGCTTTTTAAAGGAGAGGCTCCTGGATAATCCAACCCATCCAAAAAGAATCACACCCACTGTCTAGTCAGCACCAACTGATAGTGACCCCACATTGGTTTCTGAAACTTAAATTTGCGAAAGAGACTGCCCATCCTTCTCCTGTGAAGCAGCTGGTGATTCAATCTGTCCACATTTTGGCTAGCAGTTCCATACATTATCCACTATGCCACCAGGTCTCCTTAAATTATCATTAGGCCACCAGAGCTCCCTGTTAAGTTACTCAATGTTGTATAAAATTAAAATGTGACACTTATCTTTGGGATCAACCCCTGCTTAATTAGCAAAGGCTCCTCTTCTTTGAAGTCATCTAGGAAGAACTGCTGAATGCACTTCAGCAAGAGTGAAACACACTGAAATTCATGGTGATCCAGTTCCTAGGTATTAGACCACACAAAATTAAAACCCTTACAGGTGATTGATTACATATTGGTATCTCTGGGCACATTAATAAATCAAGATACTTGCCTTATGTATGGATTTGTCAAGTTGAGGTAATAGAAGATGATCGTATTTTTGAGGAACATAGCACACTCTCTCTTGAAAGTATTCTTTTATTTTCTGATAATCTTTACCATCCAAGACACCAGAAATGAGTGATTGAAGCTGGAAAGTGAATAGTTTGCAAGTTATCCTTTTTCTCCTAAGAACATGTGCTTCATAGTACTATGCCCAATTCATTAGCAAAAATATTTCTATGTAGAAATGATAAGGGCAAATATAGACTAGAGGTCTAGACCTTAAACTGTTAATATCAGTTAGCAAAAGACATAAATTTTTATTGGCTTAAGAATGTTGTTATGTAAAAAAAAAAAGAATGTTGTTATGTGCCGTCGAGTCATTTGCGGCTTAAGAATATTTTTTTTAAAAAATATTTTTAAAAAAAGAATAGTTTTCAAAGCATGGTTCTTACATTACCAGCAGGAGCCCTGGTGGCACAGTGCTTTAAACCCACCAGCCAATCTGTGGGAGAATGACTTGGCAATCTGCTTCTGTAAAGATTACACTTAGAGACCAACCCTATAACCTCAAACTACTGCCAGTGGGTCAGTTCTGACTCAGAGCTATCCATCACCAATGAGTGAGTTTTTCTTTTGCTTTTCAAGGAGAGGAGCAAATGGGGGGGGGGTTGTGCAGGGAGAAGGGTGCAACAATAAATGAATGGAATCCCAAAATCTCTGTAGATGTTCATTGAAATGAAAAATAAACAACCTAAATTAAAAAAAAATATGGGAGGAGACTTTCTTCCTCAGAGCAGCTGGGGGAAGCAAATTGCTGACCTTAGGGTTCAGAGTGCAACATACACCATGCCACCAAAGCTGTTTTAGAAACTCTATGGGACAATTTTAATAGATCTAAAAGGGTTCCTATGAGTCAGAAACAACTTGAAGGCAGTGTTTGGGAGAATCAGCAATATTAGCTTCACCTGGGGCTTGTTAGAAATGAGAAACACTAGGGTTGGGCCTTTCAGGTGATTCTGATAGATGCTAAAGTTTGAGAGTCCCTGACTTAAGGAAAAAAAATTGTTTTAATTATACAGATAGATTGGTTGTGTTTGATTTTTCTTTTTAACCTGGCCAAGTCATCCCCAGTCTATCACAATAATACCCTGCTCTTTCCTTTCCTGCTCTTTTTCTTTAATCTGTTTCTTTATCTAAACTTTACTGAGCTATAAACTCTGTAAGGGCAAAAGTGTCATGGTTTTGTTCAGTGTGGTCTACCTAGAATAATGCTTGGCATGAAAGAGCTTAGACTGGGCGGGGAGTGGGAAGCTGATGATATAGTTTAAATGGACAAGAAATTGTGTGGGGAAGGTTAGGGGGGAAAGCAGCAGCAAAGAAGACTGCTGCTGGTCTGAGCAGCTGGGAGAACGACTTTGTCATAGTAACCTGGCTGAAGCCAGTTTAGAAATTCTAAAGTACTGAAAAATCCAAGCAGATTCACTAAGTGGCATAATAGATCATAATGGAAAAAGGAAAATTACTTCAAAACTATTAATTCCAGGTAGTGGTCAATAGGTAAATAGAGTCTAATGATTGAAGTTGACCTTTTCTGCCTGAACAGTAACTAAGACATACTTCTAAATATATACACATGACTGCCAGATTCTTCCTGTGATTTTTTTAAAATATAAAAGCGATATAAAATATTTAGCGTTGAGATACCATCCCGTTTCTTTTTAGTACTGATTTAAATGGAGAAGCAACATTTGAAGTTAAGAGAATCTTTTCTTTCTTAAGCATCCATGTTAGGGAAGGGTTTTATTTGTCATGTGCTCTACAGATATTTTCCATTTTTAAAATTTCTTTTCACAAGGGCACTCTCTGCATGAGGCTAATACCACAAAGGTTGTGAAGGTAAAAGGTGGGATGGATATTGTCCAGCTGGGATTCATACCCAAATTACTCCACAGAAACTCATGCTTCACACCTGCTTAGAACTCTTCCCCATCCTGCTCTGCTTTGACACTAGCTAAGCTCTTTGCCTTGGTGTGCTAGGCCTTCCACCACTGATCTCTAGCAACCTTTCAGCTAAGCAATACTAGCAAGCTCTTCCTTAGCACAGGGCCTTTGCATTTTGCAGTCTAGTCAGTTTCCACCACCCTCATCTGGGCTTTGGCTTCATGCCATCTTTCAGATCTCAGTTTAAGGACCACCTTATATCAAAGTAACTGAGATACCTACTACCATCAGCCCTCTTAGTTTCCATCACAATACCCAGCTCTTTCCTTTCCTGCTATTTTACTTTGTTAATCTGCTTCTTTGTCTAAGCTCTATTGAGCTATAAACTATTAGGGTAGGAGTATTTGTTTTGTTCAGTGTGATCTACCAAGAATAATGTCTGGAACATCAGAGCTTAGACAAGAAGAGATGGTAAGATTGTTGAAGTTTAAATAGATAAGAAATTGTGTGGGGAAGAGTAGGGAAAAACAACAGCAAAGTAGATTGCTTCTGGTTTCAGCAGCTGGGAGAAACTGTATACAAGTATGTAGCGCAGAGGCCAATGTGATGTGCTGAGCTTAAGGAGCCACCGATCTAAAGATGAAGAAATTAAGATTAAAAAAAGGTGAAATCAAAGTCATTAAAATCAGGGATATTAATGTTGTCTTTGGTGGTGGTGGTGATTATCATAACCATCATATTTACTAGCCATCAAAAGAAAAGTATTACTAGCAAGTCTAAGACACATTAAAAAGCAAGCTAAAATACCCTTTGCAAAGAGCAAAAGAGCCCTGCACACACAAGAGGACACACATAAAACACAACATAAACTTGGCTTTTACCCAGAAAACATCATCCTTGGCTGCCTCATGCTTATTTTTCTTGACAGATGGCAAAGGATCTTCCTTCTGTGTGTAATTAGAATAGTTTGTAAACATTTTTATTAAGAAGTGCATTAAGTAGGACAAAAGCATTAAATGTTTTTCATAACTAAGGCCAGCTCACTATTTGTGCAAGTGAAGAGACTTTATCCAATCTGCTTTAACACTGTGACAAATACAATATAACCTATGACAAGAAGTCACTTGAGTAAATGGTCATACAAAATCAATTTCTACTCAGTGATAAATAAAGATGTTTGTAAGGCTGTGCTGGGTTGCCGATCTAAATGTCAGCAGTTCCAGTCTTCCTTTTCCGCAAAAAAAAAGCCACTGGAACCCACGTCCAGCTTAGAAAATGCGCGAGCCTTCATACTCCCTGGCAAAAGAGTACAAACATGGGGAATTAACCTCCCTGCACTTTACACACCGAGGGAAACGGGATTGAAAAAATATCCTGAGGAACTTGAAAAGATCTCACGCATTCTAAACAGGCGACTTCCCGAGAGCTTTAGGAGTTAGGGCCCAGAGGTTTCTAGGTCTTCTTAAAACAAGCCAAAATAAACAGAAAGCGCAGAGCTTCCAATCCACCAGCACCTTCACTGGAGATGGTTGATGTCATACAAATGATTATCCTTAACACGTTGCCACAAATGACGGCAAACGTATTTCTAAGCACGATCGTCAATTTAAAAAGTGTGCGGCAGCGTGTCCCATGGAGGTTGCCATAAGCACCAACTTATTTACTCTATGTTGTTGTTGTTGTGGGATTTCTTCCCCGTAACCATCAAAATCCAGAAGTTGAAGCGCTTGTTTAAAGGGCTGGTCCCATAGGGGTCAGGGACTGTCACCCAGGCCTCTGACAGAGGCGGAGGCTTTTTGTCCTAAGAGCTACCCCTCACCCCCTCGGGTGGCAGTAGAACGGGGACTCCTGGTCTCCCAGGATCACTCACCTCCCGCGTCCTGAGGGTCCGCACCGAATGCTGCTGCCCCGCTGGCACCGCCATGCTGCTGGGGCGCTCCAGGGCCGTGGGCTTTGCGTCCTGAGGCTAAGACTTGGAATCTCCTCCAGGAACGCGGGGGTTGAGCCCGCCCCTGAAACTTAATAGTCTCGTGTTTGTATCTGCATGCAAATAACCAGCAATCAGGGTAGACCACCTGCGCGTTTCCTCCCGCGCACAACGGGGCCACCTCTAGGGAAAGGCTTTACTAATACCAATGGCGCCTACGAAGACCTTAAAAGTTCTTTGCTTTCTAAAGTCCAGCCTTTCCAAAAGGCTTTATTTCCCTCACTTCAACCATCCACCAGAATTCTGATTTTGGTCCATTACTATGTTTGCAACAAAGCTAAACTAGCACCCAAAATGCTGGCTGCGTTACTGATAGTACAAAAGAACAACATGTTTTGCTTTGCTTTGGGTTTAAGGTAAAATATGTATTTAAGGATCAATAAACAAACTCAAACTTTCCGGAAGTAAAAATTTATCTTTATTTGGTTTCCATGAAACGGAATACTTAATTTCACGATGCTTCCAGCAGTATTTGTTTATACCAAAACAGAACATTTTTTAAAAAATAAAGAATATTTTTAAAAACAACATGGGGGTGGGGTGGTGGTATGTAGGATCAGACAAAAGAAAACCAGACAGGATTGCAACACCTCTCCAATCTGTTTGAAACTGTGCTTATTTGTAATTTTGTCATATCCCTCTTCTGAAAAATATGATATGAAATTATCCTTACGTGAAAGAGCCCCAGGGACATAGTTGTTAAAGTGTTCCCCTGCTAAGGTCGAAGGTGCTGCGAGAAAGAAAGGACAGAAAGATGTGACAATATGTTCTCCAAAGAACCGAGGAAACCCTGTGAGGCAGTTCTACTCTGTCACATGGGGTCACTGGGATTTGAAGTCCACTTGTGTGACTTTGAACAATAGCAAATAGTTGAAACGACTTGTCTAAACCTAACAAATTTAAAGGCTTGCTCCTTTTCTTTTTACTTAACCAGATTTTACAGAATTAAAATAACAACCAAGGAGAAGACAGTTGGAAATATGGTTCTAAATCCATACAAACATTAGAGTTTGGAAGAATAGTTTAAAAATAACACAAAGTTCAGATTAAAGTGCATTTTATTTCAGAGAATATAATGAAATTTATTTTCAGACTTCTGGAGGTGACATTTGTTTCCATACTATAAAACTGTAATGCAAGAAGCTACGCTGTAGGCCCAAAGGCACACAGTTCAAATCCACCAGATGCTCTGCTGGAGAAGGAGGGGCTATCTCCTCCTATGGCACTTAGATTCGATTTGATGGTACACAATAAGGGGGAAAAAAGAAGAATTTGTAATGTATTCAAACAGATGAAATTAAATAGGCAAAAAATATAATTTAATTCTTAAAATATTTTCACTTCATCTTCTATAATAATATGCTTTATCCAGACATTATTTGGAGGCAACTTAAAACATCTGACTATGGTAGAGGTTTTCTCATATGTCTTAGGACATCAGAATCCATTTAGAAAAAAGCATACAATTAACCAGTTTGGTCTTAATCATGAGCAAGTTACACTTTTTGAAGTCTGAAGTTTGCCTAGGAACTTTCTAAAAGTACAGAGAGACATGAACTATTATTCTCTGACCATTTGTACTAATAGAAATAAGAGCAATATTGCAAGGGAAGAATGGAAATAAATTTCGATGCATTCTCATAAGTAACTTACTTTTTAAGTGAGATTTTTAAAATTATATTGTTATTGTGATTTGAGTAAAAGTTTACAAAGGAAATTAACTTTTCATTTGACCATTCATACACATTTCATTTTACAATATTAATTTCAATATCCACAATGTAGTTTCCCTTTTCTCACATTTTTTGTTTAATTCTGATTTTTGTGAATCCTTCTATCCATCTCTATCCCGTCTTTAGAGATACTACGTGAATTATTCCTTTATTAGATATAGTCTTTTCTTTCTAGATGGTAATTTTAAATTCTTCTTGAAGCCATTTCTTTAAATATTTTATAGTTTAATAAATCTCTTAAACCAACGCATCTGACAAAACGTGTACATGTGTACATATATGTGTGCATATGTGTACTTATGTGTATGTGTAAAAAGGAAGTATATTTGTAATGTTTCAAAGACAAAAGGAAAAAACAAAACAAAAGAAGCTGAACAACAGGCAGTTAGCCAGACCGTTGGCGGTGGGTGAACAGAAAAGTCCGTAAAACAAACCGACAGCAGATTCATTTTGCCATTCCCACGTAGGCTTACAAGGTAATCATTTATTTAAGAGTGACTTTAACCCTGACGTCGCACGACATTTGTGGAACAGGGAATGAAAGAGGACAGGAGGCTAGTGAACGTAGGGATGAGTTACTCACGTCTGTGCTTTCTCGCTTCTTAGGCGCAGAGGCTCAGCTGGAATAGGACCTAGAAAAAGCGCAGAATCTGCCTTTGAGTTAGGTAATATCTCCCCAGAGTGGAGACTGGTTGCGCTGAAATGTCTTCCATTGTATAGCCCGGCTCTGCCCTTTACTGAGGCCGCTTCGCACCATTTATACTCAGCTTTCTCTTCTGTATAGGCAACCAAAGGAGGAAACCACAGGAAGTGCTTGCCCTGCTCTCCACAGCAACTCTCTGAGCGCTTACTTGTGCTCCACTGTGCGCGCCACGTCTGGAGTTTGCGCATCCTTCCCAACAGTGACCAGCGTTTTGCAAGCTGCTTTGTCTGCAAAGGTTCGACTCTATCAGGGACCCGGCTGGAGAAAGATGGGCGATCTCTTCCTGTGCAATTTACAGGCTATTTAGGGAAAACCCTCGGTAGGGTCAGTTATAAGTTGATTCTCACTTGACAACAATGAGTCTTGAGTATCGTGAATGGAAGGGTACAGACTGCATAACGAGAGAGCAGAGAATGGATTAATTCTTCCTTCGCCACCTCGGAGCAGGCTCAGACGAGGCCAAAGAGTGATGACATAGGTTGCTTTAATTTCTTTTTGGGAAACGTTTTTCCAGACAAGAAGAATGTTCATATGAAGAAGGCACTCTCCCTTATCCTGGAAAGCCCATTGCGTTTCCACCCTTTCCCGCCTTTCTCTGGGTCCCCTGGATTGAGATTCTACCGATTTGGTCGTGCCATTTCTAAGGAATACAAATCAAGACTTTGAGTTATTTCAGGTGCATTGGAACTCACTGAGTTCTAATTAACTTAGCAGATAAGGGAGTGAACCCAGGTGGAGGAAAGCTGAGATGCACAACAGGCCAGAGCTCACCTGCCATCTTTCCCTCTACAAGTGGCGGTTCTTAACTCGGTTCTTAACTCTTGCGGCAAGCAAGTCCCTCCACAGCTCCCTGGAATTTCTTGTGCCTGGCGCTTAGTGAGTCTTCCAGAATTACCAGCGGAGGTGGACCTGAAGTGTGACAGGTATGCCCATGCTGAAGTTGTTCGCTGAAAAGAGGGCCAGGGCGCTTCACAGAGCAGTTTCTATTAACAATCGCCTGCTGTGAGAGATTGTTCAGCAAGTTGAAACTAGCACTTTCATGTTGAAAAGCTTTCTGGCGTCCAGGCAGACCATGTGATCTTGCTGAGGCAGGAAGAGAAGTAAAAGATTCAAGACTTTGTGTGGTTTTGAACGGATGTCACGTTAAAATTAATTAATAGGTAGATGTCAGATGGTTGATGTTTGGATATTTGGAATGGGGTGTGAGGTCAGTACTTGCCGTAGGCACTATTTTCCCATTGCCAGGAAAATAAGTCCCAAACAAGGAGCAGTGGACGCGATTAATCAGATTGGGACCAGCTGGCCAGATAGGATTCCAGTGTCGTCCAGTATATTGAATATTGACTATCGGGACATTTCCTGAAACTCTACACCTCAAAAGCCTCCTCCAGAAATCCTCTGCAAAACCCCAGAAACGGAGACACAGTTAACTGTGCTAGGAGGGTAACTGGACTCAGAGGGAGGGGAAGAAATGTAATAAGTAGAGAACACTACAAGGACCAAGACAATGGAGGATCAACCTGGGAAGAATCAAGATAAAGACAATACATCCATTGCAATTAGCAAATAGGAACAAGGTATAACTTACAGAAATGCAATGCATACGAATAACTGTATAGAGGTGAATGATGGTATAAATACAAAACACTTAAAAACAGTGAATGATGGTATAAACAAAAATTTTAAAATAAGTGTATAAGTTAAAATATTTAATATTTAAATTGCTAGTTCCTAGTACCCACTTAAAAGTTTCTAACTTCAAGGAGGCATTTCAATCTCCCCGTGTCCCTTCAGTTTTCCTCTTGTCCCAAGTACGCAGCTCCATCTCCTGCTCCGTTCTTCATTCTGTCAGGGAGGGGTGTCCTTGCTCGTTGGTGCTGGGAGCTTGGACATGGGCTGGGAGGCGGAGCTTGGGGAGATGAAGCTTTATAAAGATGCTGCTAGCCCCTCTATGCGCCACGGCGGCACTCTGGGCAAGAGGTTTCAGCACCAGGGTTGTGGACAGCGCCCAGCCTGGATTTCTAAATAGTGGCTCTTTTTCTTCCTCTCCTAACACACGTACAGGCAGAAAGCAATGCCTTCTTTATATGGAGGGTTCGCTTGAGCACTTCTTGGTTGCTTTGGATGGTTCCCGCCCCCTTCTTTTTCCTCTATTTTTCAGGTACCTAGAATCGAGTGAGGTGGAGCAGATGTCCACTGACTCGGAGCAGAAGGCGGACTTTCTGTACTCCTATGGGATGAAACTCAACTGGGACATCAATGACCCGCAGATGCCTCAGGTGTGTGAAACAAAGTGTGTGTGTCCTCGAGGAGAGCTGCCTATCTAAAAGAGAGGAGAAGACATTCAAAGCTTTCGACTCTGTGCAGACTCCCCCAGCCCCGCCCCCAATGTGACCACTTGCAATGTGATTTTAGGGAATTCTGGTGGCTAGCCCTTTGAGAGTTGCACTGTAAGCCACCTTTCTGCCAGTTAGAATCCAGTAGGGGCTTCAAGTGAGAAAGATGAGCAATTTTCCTCTTTGTGAAAGTCTCTGAAAATCTGCAGGAGATCCAGTTATGCATCAGTTCTGATGCGATGGGTTATGTTTGAGGTTAAAGAAATTGGGGACTCTCTTCCTTGTCTATGCTTTATTCTCTAAAAGAAAGTTATGGGAGGGTGGAATCAATATATGTAGATACCCTTGTTTTCACTTGACAAAACTGACTCATAAGCATATTTGATTTGGGCAATTTTGCAGATGCTCTTGGCTGCTTGAAAGCAGCACAGTTTCTAAGAGGTTTCCTGTCATTATAAGAAAAACTATCATGCTCAAAGAGCCTCTGTAATCTGGATTTTGGCTGTTGCTTCTGAGCTTACTTCTCTAAGGTTAGAGAAGTAATTTCTCCTAGTAAACCTGGAAACATGCAAAATCTTTATCCTTTAAGGGTGACTTTTTTTTTTTACAACCAAAGGTATATAAAAATAATAGTTCAGAGACTAATGTGGGCAATATGCATGGTCACACTAGTTTGACCCAGTGGTAAATGAGTGACTTTTGATTTCCCAAAGTAAGTAGAAGTAGACTTGACAAGGCAGAGGTTAGCATGCCATTGTGTAAGGGATGAGAGATTTGCACATATGCAGAATCAATTCTGTGCCAAGTAGATATAAAGATGGGCAGCCCTTTACTAGCAAGCTTGCATCATCTATTGAGCATTACACTTCTTTTGGTTGTACATGCTTGTGGGACACTTGTCCTAAAGTCCACCTCCTTGGAGGTCCACTATGCATTTTTGTGATTGAAGACCACCTTACACTCTCACTGACTTTTGCCCACTGGTCTTTATTTAAATAAAATAATCTAATACTGAATATAGGGAGCTTTGGTGGCCTCATGGTAAGGGGCTGTGCGGCTAATCTGAAGGCATGTGGTTTGAATTCAACAGCTGCTCTGTGGAAGAAAGATGGGCAATCTTCCTGTTCCGTTTACTTCCTCTATAATATTGCTGGAGGGTCAGCTATGGGTCGGTTCCAACTTGATGGTACACAACAACAGAACACCACCACCACTGGATTTAGGAAAGGGCCACATCTAAATAATTTAAAGATGTCTCATCTCTCAGGTATTAACAAGACTTCCTAGGAAATGTTGATAAATACCATCAAGTCATAAGTACAACTCATAGCAACTCTGTGAACAACAGATCTGAACCTGGTCTTATCCTGTACCATCCTCACAGTCTCTGACACACACAAGCTCATTGCTCTAGTCACTGTGTCAATCCACCTGGTCGAATGTCTTCCTTTCCTTTACTGTCCCTCCCCTTTTCCAAGCAAGATGACCCTCTCTAAGAAATGACCTCTCCTAGGAAAAGGAATGAATTTTACTTTGGGAGACTAAGTGGGCAGTGTGGTAACATTTCCAAAAGACCAGGCACTGTGACAGAGAGGTGAGGAGATGGACTGTTCTAGCTTTGCTCTGGTGAACTGGATGACAAAGCTGAGCTGGCTGCATGACCTTGAGAAAGTTCCTGAACTTGTTTGGTTTCAAGCTCCTGCCTTTCATCAAGTGGTGTTAGCAGATAACAATCTCAGCCTCTACCACCTGCTCTGTGTGTGCATGTCTGCATGTGTGCACATACATAGGCACTCCTGCCAACACTTCAGAGCATTTGAAACCCAATCATAGGATCCTCTGACTGTGTTTTGTTTTTTTAAAAAAATACGATCTGTATGGCTTCATGTCCAGGTTCACCACCTTGGTAGCTAGTGTGAAACATGGAAGCCTAGTGAACACTCTTACAGGGAAAAGTTTTAGAATGCCATCTGCTGAGAAAATGTCAGCTTGATACTCAGATCCTCAGAGTGAAATGGTAACTTAAAAAAAAGGCATTCAAATTTAATGCAAACATAGATTTATTGTTATTCATTTCACTTTGGTGAGCTCTGGTGGCTCTGGACCAGAGGCTCCACAGGAGAAAGAGGAACAATCTCCTTCCTAGTAATTTTCAACCTCTCAAAAACTATCTGGGTGGTCAGCTCTGAGTCAATTCTTACTTGATGGCAATGTATTTGACGTCTCACTTTTGATCAACTTTAAGTTAACATAACAGTTTGAGTCAATTGTCATATTTCACAGAAAAGTTGAAATATCTATTTAGAGTAATGATGGTTTTAAAAATTCATTTTCTGAGCAAACTTTCAAAGTACAAATGAACATTTTAAAATAAGAATATTGATATCAATGTTTTCCTTGTGGTTTGAGGAACAAAACCACCCATTCACCTTACTAATGTTAAAATATTGCGTACAATTGAGTCAGAATTAAACAATAACCAACCTTCTGGCAAGTTTTCTGAGGCAGTAAATACACTGGAGAAGATTTGCTCATCTTTCTCTCACAAAGCAGATGGTGCATTCAAACCACATACCTTTGAGTTGACAGCACTCCTCCTTACCACTAAGCCACCAGAGCCCCTTTAATGTTAGAATAATATACTACTAATGAATGCAAGTGTAAGCTGACTGATTGAGAACATTCATGCTGTGGCAATACTAGATCTCAGTTTCCTGGTGTGGAAGCAGGAGGGAGATGTACAAATGGTGACAATTTTGATAACTCTGTGCTACCATCAAACCAGGCAAGCCAGTACACTTGGTTATCCATAGTTGTCTGGTTAAATTTTGGCTCTGTCCTATGGAAGTTTTGCTCTAACTTTCATTTCCTTATCTATAAATAAGAAAAAGATCCCTGTCTTTCAGAAAGTTACATGTATTCCGTAAGAAATCACTGGCTCAGTTTGGCTTTGCAAGGTGCACCATCTCTGTCCCAATTCTACCCTCATCAGGAGAAAAGAATCATAGACCATATATAAATACATGTGACAGTATGCAAACAAAATTTTATTTGTGAATTCTGAAATTTGAATTTAATACCATTTTCGGGTATCACGAAATAGAATTCTTTTAAAAAACCCAACTATTCCCCAAACACTGAAAATTATAAACCCCATTGTTTAGCTCACAGATTATACAAATGCACCATCAGTCCTATTTGCCAATTGCTGCCCTAAAGAGCACCTGGTAAATAGTACCAAAACCCCAAACATGCTGTTGGCATCAATTCTGACTACTCATGACCCTGTAATACAAAGTAAGGACTTTTGAGACAGTGAATCTTTCAGAGGAAGACTTTCTCATCTTTTTTTCTAGAGTGACTGGTAGTTTGAACCACCAAACTTTTAGTTAGAAGCTAACTACTTTAACCACTGTGCCACTAAATGCATTTTATAGTAAACAGTATGTGGCCATTTGATATGAAATTTATACACGAGAAAGGCATTTCTTGCAGTGTGCTTAGTGTATAATGGTAGACAGAAACAGAATGTGAAAACAAAGTCATATGTGACATTTAGTTGAGCCTAGTGAGCCCAGGCTGCTCTGAGGAGGGTGAAGGGCCTGACAGCCTGGGTTTGGCTGACTTGACAGCACTGTCTTGCTCCAGGTGTGTCTTTATGATCAGACCCATCACTCCTGTCGATTCAGAAAGCTGCTTATCTGGGGGTAAGGAGGAGAGCTTCTCTTGTGTTTCTGGATGTGCTCTGGGAATCATTGCTGGTGTGACTTTGATTTCCAGGATGATGGTAGAGCAAAGAGATTTGAAGGTAGGAGGGAACTCCAATGGATCAAAATGAAGCAATTTACAAGTAAAAGTCTGTTTCAGAGACAGAGAATTCTAATAGCTTTTAGAATGAATTTAAAGATGTTTTCAACATCAAAACAAACCAAGAATTGATACACCACAATTCTAAGGAAGATCAGGCTCTAGAGTTAGATTATTCTGATATATACCCTAGAGTTGTTTCTTGCTTGCTGTATGATCTGAGGCAAGTCAATGAACGCCTCTGGCCTCAGTTTCCTGTTCTTTAAAATGGGGCTAATAGTAGTACCCATCATGTATCTGTGTTGTGATGGCTGGATTAATTTCTTAACTTATTATTGATGGTGTAAACAGTTAAACCCTAATCTAAGAAATGAAAAGTTAACTGTTTGAAGCTACGCAGAGGCTGTTTGGATATTAGACTTGGCAGCCTACTTCTAAAAGGTTATAACATGGAAAATCCCTTAAAGGGGTCCACACTGCACACGTGGGGTCGATGTCAGTCAGAATCTGCTCTGCTACAACAGCAGCCATAACAGCAGCAGCATGGAGAAGATACACTCTGTGTAAGAAGTCTCTGGTGTGACTACTCAGTTGCTGGAAAAGTGGAGGGAACACTGCATGAATAGCATTTTGTAATGGTATTGTTTCCAGGTTTTATACACAATTTATGAAGGACTCATTTTTATTCTAGTGCATTTGGAGAGGGTGGAGTAGAGACATAAGGGGTGCAGCAGGAGCTGGATAAACATCACATCTTCCTCCTCCATGCCCCTCACAGGAGCCCATCCACTTTGACCGGTTCTGCGAGTGGCCAGATGGCTACGTGCGCTTCATCTATCGTGGAGATGAGAAGAAGGCCCAGCGCCACCTGAGCGGCTGGGCCATGCGCAACACCAACAACCACAATGGCCACATCCTCAAGAAGTCATGCCTAGGAGTGGTGCTGTGTGCGCGGGCCTGTGTCCTGCCCAATGGATCCCGCCTGCAGTTGCGGCCTGCTATCTGCGACAAGGCCCGGCTGAAGCAGCAGAGTAAGCTGGGGAGCAGGTGGGGTCACAAGTTTCCTACTCCCCATTTGCCTGCCATTCTTCCATGAGAAATAGTGGGACTGAGGCTGTCAGTAATAGATACTCATAAATTTCTTATCAGAGAAGAAAAAAAAATCTACTGCCATAGAGTTGGTTCCTACTCAAAGGACGCCTTGGTTGAAGGTATAGCTCTTTAGGGAGGGAGACTGACTGCCCACCTTTGTCCCTTTTTGTTACTGTGTACCCGCTGAGTAGGAACCAACTCATACTTTAACCCTCCAATAGCTATTCAAAGGCTGTCAGCTGCTTGGGAGGAGAATGTCTATCTTGCTCCTGTGGAGCAGCTGATGGATTCGAACCACTTGCATTTGGGTTGGCAGCTCAACTCCTTGTTGTTAGGCCACCAGAGAGCAATTCGTGGATAGCAACACATATGGAAAGCATCATGTTGCTAGAGGTTGTTATTAGGAGTCCTAGGGTGGCCCGAATGAGTAACACTGGGCTATCAAATAAAAGCCTGGTGGTTAGAATCCACCAGAAGTGCCTCAGGAGAAAGACCTGGAAGGTGGGAGTGTATGTGTGTGGGGGGGGGGATGTGCTGATACAGTTCTACCGTGATATGTACAGGTTTGCAGTGAGTTGGAATCAATTAACAACAGCTGGTTTGGTTTGGGATTATTAGTGTGAAAAAGAGACTGACTGCCAATGAGATTCCTTGGGACGGTGACACAACAAGAATGAATTTGCCCATGAGAGAGATCAGGAGGATGGTGCAGGACAGAACAAGGTTCAAATCTGCTGTTCCTTGGTTGGCAGATTCGAGAGCATCTAGCAACATCACCACAATTATTTTGTGAATATTAGAATTGCTCTTTTCCTCCTTTGGATTTTACAGAGAAAACTTGTCCCAACTGTCATTCCTCTTTGGAATTGATCCCCTGCCGAGGGCACAGTGGATACCCTGTGACAAACTTCTGGAGGCTGGATGGCAATGCTATATTTTTTCAGGTAAGTGGGTTGAAACCAGTTTGTGAGAGCATCTTTATTTGACCCTAGGAACTAAATCTCTTGCCATGTACTTTGGGAACTCTGGGCCAAACCAAACACAGCTCCAATAGCTAGAAATGGAAGCTGTAGCACCCTGAGGGCCAACCTGGACCCATGAAATTAGCTCACCTATTATGAACTTGCTCAGCATTTCTTAAGCTGAAGGAACTCAAGAACAAATTCAAGCCTCAAGTTGCAATACTTAAGGATGCTTTGGGCAGAGTATTAAATGATCCAGGAAGCATTAAAAGAAAATAGAAAGAGTATACAGAGTCATTGTACCAAAATGAATTGGGGGACACAGAACAATTTCATGAAAAAAAAAATGTATGAGCAAGAGCCTGTGGTGATGAAGGAAGAAGTTCAAGCTGCTCTGAAAGAACTGGCAAGAAACAAGTCGTCAGGAATTGATGGCATACCAATTGACATATTTCAACAAACAGATGCTGCCCTGGATGAACTCACCACATTGTGCCAAGAAATCTGGAGGACAACCACCAGTTCTCATTCCAAAGAAAGGTGATCTGACAGAGTGCAAAAATTATAAAAAAATCATAAATGTAACACACAAGCAAGATTCTGCTGAAAGTTATCAAAAAATGACTTGAATAGCATATCAACTGAGAACTGCCAGAAGTGCAGGCTGGGTTTTAGAAGAGGCCATGGTACTAGGGGTATTATAGCTAATGTTAGAGGGATCTTGGCTGAAAGCAGGGGTACCAGAGGTATGTTTATCTGTGTTTCATTGACTATGCAAAGGCATTTTACTGTGTAGACCACAACAAACTGTGGCTGACTCTGAGAAGAATGCGAATCCCAGTACAGTTAATTGTGCTTATGTGAAATCTATGAGTCAGTCATCAGAACAGAGCAAGGAAACACTTCATGGTTCAAAATTGGGATGTGTGTACACCAGAGATATGTCCTATCTCCATTCCTTTTCAATCTATAAGCAGAACTGATTATCTGGGAGGCTGATTTCTATGGGAAGAAATGTGGCAACAAGATTGGAGGAAGACCCAACAATCTGCATTATGCAAATGATAAACCCTGATTGCTGAAACTGAGGAGGGCCTGAAGTGCTTGCTGCAGAAGGTCAAGGACTCCAGCCTTCAATATGGATTGAAGCTCAACATCAAGAAAACAAAGATTCTCACCACTGGGCCAATTGGCAGCATCATGATGGAAGGTAAAGAGATTAAGATTGTTAACAGCTTTAGTTTGCTTGGCTCCACCATCAACACTCTTGGTAACAGCAGCCAGGAAATTAAGACAAATTGCATTGTAAAAATCTGCTCTCAGAAACCTCTCCAGAGTACTGAAGAACAACGATGTCAGTCTGGAGACTAAGGTGCATCTGATGCCACAGTCTTTACAATTACTTGCCATGCATCAGAGAGCTGGACAATGACTAGGGATGATAGAAAGAGAATTGATGTCTTTGAGTTGTGGTGCTGGAGAAAAGTATTGACTATACCATGGACTGCTAAGAGAACAGATTTGTCTTAAAGAGAGACCAGGCTGCTCCTTGGACACAAGGATTCTGAAGCTTCATCTGACATATTTTGGACATGTTACAAGGAGGGATCAGTCCTTGGAAAGGGATGTCATGCTTGGAAGGGTGGAGGGACAGTGCAAGAGAGGAAGACCCCTTTTGACAAGGATTGATTCAGTGACTGGGGTTATGGGGGTAGGTGTGTCAGAGACAATATGATTGGCACAGGATAGAGCAGGGTTGTTGTACATAGGATCACTAGAGCAGGGCTGTTCTACGTAGGATCACTATGAGTCACAAGCAACTCGACAGCATGTAACAACAACAATAACAACAATAATGTGAGCTAGAACCACCTAAGAGCAAGTAATGGTGAACCAAGCTGTAGTTTTAGGTCATTTATCAGGATGGAAGGATCATGGGTGATGTTTTCCCCTTCATTTCAAGGATTTATTTATTTTAAAGTCAGAAACTTAAATAATGAAAAGGAGTTGGTAATTGTAGCATAGGAAATGCCAAGTAGAAAGTAGCAATGAAAATTTAGAAAAAAGTCATGACTAGTTCAACTCAGAAGTTTAAGTCTTGTTTCATGGAAAAGCTAGCAATTTACTTAAAATTTTAGAAATAAGCCACCATTTGAGCCTGGAATTGAATTCTCCCTTGTGCCACAACTGTTAGCCAAATAATAGAGAAATTATGCAGTGACTAGTAACACCAAGGACCAATAACTTAGTCCTTTGAACTATCAACCACATAAGATGAGAAGGGGGGGCATTTGCCCAGAGATAAAACCCGAATGATAGGAAGGAGAGGAGAGAAAGATAGAACTGAAGTGGGGATCACAGGCAGACCTGCGAAGAGTGCTAATTACAAAGTGAGCATAGCAGTCAGTGTCATAAAACAGAATGTGCTTGAATGGCTGGGCTACCAATCTCCTCTGCAAACTTTCACTCAAATCACACACACACACTTTTTAAAGGAGAGCTATGAGCAGGGTTCACTAGGTTGCAGAAAGTGGATTTTTTTTCTGGGAGAGGGGAAGTTTTAAAAGAATACAAGCACACTAATGGATTTTATATAGTTCAGCAAAGTTACAGCTGAAGCATGGAGAATACTGTGAGTAATTTTTAAAAATTTGTTACTGATGGTGATAGTATTAGTTCATGATGCTGGGAAAAGCAGTACCGCTTTTTGGCCAGTGTTACTTGCTTTCTTCAGAGAAGCATGTATATGACTGATTTCTTTATTAACACAGGCTAAGGGGGTTCATGACCACCCAAGACCAGAGAGCAAATCTGAGACGGAAGCTAGAAGAAGTGCCATTAAGAGACAGATGGCTGCTTCTTACCAACCCCAGAGAAAGAGAATTAGAGAGTCCAAGGTAATTGCAGCACTGGCCTTGCATTGTGATTGTTTTTATTGCAAAGTACACTGAACTGTGTGTGAATTATGAGTGTCATACAAAGATCTGATATTATGTGGAAGCAATATAGCTTGAGAAAAATGAGATTGAACTAACATTTGGCTAGGACTAAAGTCTGTTCTTAAAGAAAAGCCAAAAGCGACCCTTTTGAGAGGTGGTAATACAATCATGGTGGATGTTGGCTCCCTTATCATCCAATAGTAAGACTGAAATTTTGTTGTTGATTGTCATTAAGTTGAACACAACTCATAGTGACCCTATGAACAAAAAGCCTAAAGAATTTCTATAACTATTGTAGTTTCTCCAAGTTCATAGAGTTTCTAGAGGCATGTGGTTTAGGCATTGAAAAGGCAGAGAAGGCATCTATTTATTACCCAGGGAGCTAAGAGCACATCTCTGAGAGAGTCTATTGTCTGACTTATGTAAGAAAAGACAGTTCTGGAAGATTTGATCCCATTTGTCTTTCCACCAAAGCATGCCAAGCAGATAGAGAGTGGCAGTGACAGCAATGACATTGTTAGAGCCCTCTTTGTGCCAGACACTTGTCTAAGGTTTTCACACATTTCATAATCAGAACTCCTAAGAGGAGATTATTATTCTTTAACTCTACTTTTTAAGTATATCTTTTTTATTATGAAATTTTATTAATTTTAATGAACATTTACAGAGATTTTGGGTTTTCATTCATTCATTGTTGCACTATTTTCTCTACCCTCCTCCCCAGTTCATTCTTCTTTTTTTCCCCCCTTGTAAGTCTGTTTTAATTGTCCAATTGCCACAGTGCTTGTCAAAGCCAGTTCTGATCAGTCTCCTTTGTCAGTGTGTCCTTTGCCATTCCCTATCACTCCTCCCTGAGAAAGACTTCACCCTGATTCAATTTGGGAATCTCAGGCTTTTAGGCATTACATAACTTCCTCAGCGAGGGGCTCACTCACTCATTACTATTAAGTTGAAACTGACTCATAACTGACTCACCATTGGTTTTCCAAGACTATAAATCACATGGGAAAAGATTGCCCATCTTTCTCCTGAGCAGCTGCTGGTAGATTTGCACCACTAGAGAGAGATGACCTTTGGGGCAGCAATGCAACTCCTTATGGTCTACACTGCCAGAGCTCCCTAGTGAGGGGCAAAGCTGAGATTTGAACCCAGGTCTGCGTTACTCCTGAACTTTAGTTCTCATAAATATGATACAGGAGATAACAAGACTATATACCACTCAGACACATCCTGCCTGACTACCATAAACCTTCCTCTTTCAGAAGAGTAATATTCACTGCTGAGTAAGCGCAAACTATATATATGTCTTACCAATGTTCAAGTCATATTCCTGAGCAGCCTGGGGTTCATGACACGGAGTTCACTAGTTAGAAGGTACTCGATTATTCTGCTCTTGTTACATAGGAAAATGTTCACACACCTGACATATCATATGTCTGCATTTTTATCAGTTTTTTCAGACAGAAGAGCATCAAGCCAACAATGGACATTTCAGCACTGTATCGCCCCTGGAAAATCAAGAACAGCTTGATTTAACAACTGACTCTGGCTTCTCTACTCCAGGGAAGCCATGTTTTTCCTTCCCAAACTCAGATGTTTATGAAGCTTCTTGTGATCTAATTACCTTTGGAGGAGATGGAATGTCATCCTTTCAGAAATACCCCAATCCAAGAATTTTGCCTGGGCTGTCTTGTGGCTATGAGTTGGCAAGTTCTAGTTATACACATGCTAGCCCATACTCTAACCTTTCTAAAGATTCCACGAATAGCCCCAATGACAGAGAGTGGGTTCATCTGAATGCACTACAATGTAATGTCAATGCTTATAGCAACAGTGAGAGAAGCTTTGATTTCACCAATAAGCAATATGGGAGTAAGCCAGCTATTGGGAAAACTGGCCTTGGGGAAAGGACTGACTGTGGTCAGTTCCCAGCCATGACCCCTTGCCCATATTATAACCCAGAGTATCGCTGCAGGTACCTCACTCCCCCCTCCCCAACTGCTTCAGCCCTCCAGACTGTCATCACTACCACCACCAAAGTGTCCTACCAGACTTACCAGCCCTCTGCTTTGAAATACAGCGATGATGTGCACGAGCTGAAGAGCCTTTCAAGCTGTAACTACATCTCTGAAAACACACCCATGTCAATTTATCCAGAAGCCTTGAACTTTCCCACCAATACCTGTTGGGAAGCCTCTCCAACAGAATCATTTCCTGTGAGAATTCCAGAAGAATGCCTCCTCATCAAACCCACACTGGATTTTTCTCAAGAATCCGCTCCCTCCAAGGCAGACCAGGCAGCAGTTTGGGATGTGTATCCATCAGCAGTGGGTCTTGGGATTAGTTATTCAGAGAGAATGGGTCAATTCTTTAACTTTGACAATGAGGAATTTTGAAGGCCAACACAACATCTAACAACATTCACGCACAGGCAAAAGAATGGTAAAGCTTGTTGAGCTGAGACAGTCATCTTAAATACGAAGACATATTTGTAGTTGTAAAAATGCTGACTGGGTGAAGAAATTACTGGTTAGAAATGTTTAGATGTACAGCAAAGTTTTGCTAGCATTTAAAAACCTCCCACAGTGCATGAAGTAGATCTGAAAGGTACAACTTGCTCCAATTAACAAGCTATCAAACTTGAGATGGTCAAAGTTCAATTTTGGCATAAGTTCTCTTCACTTACTAGCAGGAGTAAAGGCCAAAGATCCCAAGCTTTTCCCCGTTAGACCACATTAACGCAGGGAATGTGACAAAGACTCATTTGGTCTTTACAGGCTTTCAAAATCACTTGAGGGAGAAACCTTTACAATTCTACTTCCTGAATCAGTCTATATAATTTTATTTTACTCTTGTTGTTGTGTGCCATCAAGTCAGAACCAGAACTGACCCATACTTGATCCTCAAGGGTTTTCAGAGACAGCAAATTACTCGGGAATAGAATCCGTTAAAATCACTCCAGGAAATAATTTTAATCATCTTCTCGATAAAGTATATATCACAGGATTTGTGGTTGATTTTTTTTTTTAAAACAATCTCTGACAATAACAAAGTGCAATTGGTGTTTAATAATTTTTTTTTCAAAATCCACTAACTAAAGTTTGTGATTGTTTTCCTGACAGAAGTAGCTAGTGATCATTGTATCTACTTAGTGGATTATGATTATTGCTAAAATACGCTTTTCTTTTTTTTTAAATATGCTTTTCTTGAGTACCCTTCAAAATTAGAGATACTTTGTTTGAATAAAATAATACTTGTTTTCATAAATGTGACTGGTAATGTTCATTTTCCTATATGACTGACAATGTTGTTCAATGTAAAAAAGGTATTAATGTAGCTGATATTTGATATATTTAAAATGGAAATTGGAGAGGGGAAGAAACGCTGGTCACCTAGTGCTTAAGTATCCGGCTGCTAACTGAAAGGACAATGGTTCAAATCCCAGCCATGCTTGGGGAGAATCAGAAATCTTCTATCTAGATTTACAGCCTTGGAGATATAAATCAAAACCAAATCAATAGCACTGAGTTTGGTTTGTTGTGCTATTGTTGTTGGGAGCATGAACAACAAGGTCTGAACCTTGCCTCACCCTGTGACATGCTCACAGTCTCAGATATGGTTTTGGTGTGAAGGTAGTTATTAAAATCTTTTTGCTATTCAAAACCTTTGGAGTACACATACTTTTCCCCCTGGATTTTGAATGATTAAAAATATTATCTATTTAATATTAGATGTTTTGTGGTAAAAAATATACATAGCAAAGGAGAAATTATTTCAGCTGTCTTTCTACATGTACAACTGATCATCACATACATATTACTTATGTTCTTTAAGTTCTGCAACTATTCTTTTTTTCATTTCCTTTCATTCATTATTGCACATTTTCCTCCCTGTTCACCCCTCCCCCCGAGTTCACTTTTCTCTTTGAAAAGTAAAAAGACAAAACGACTTTCATTGTTATACAGTCCCCCCGCCCCTGCTTTCATTCTGGACTTTTGTCATGACGATAATATCTAATCATATATTCCTCCCAAACAGTTTTCTCCCTCATCTGTTTTAATACAGTATACATTATTTATCCCCTCCCTCTTAGTTTTCCACCAACTTTGATGTCAGTCCCACTTTACAACAGTGTCACTACGCAGTATTTGTCCTTTTGTGACTGAGATATTTCACTCCGCATAATGTCTTCCAGGATCACCCATTTTATATAATATTTCATTAGTCCCTTGTTTTTCAATAAAGCATAGTATTCCATTGTGTGAATATACCACAGCTTCTCTAGCCATTGGTTTTTTGATGGGCACTTGTGTTGTTTCCAACTCTTTGCTATTGCAAACAAAGCCGCAATAATCATGGGTGTGCACATATCTGCTTGGGTGGCAGTTCTGGTTTCTTTAGGGTATATTTCCAGTAGTGGAATTGCTGGGTCAAATGGTATCTCTATTTTCAACTTTTGGAGAAAGTGCCTACAATCTTCCATAGTGGTTGCACTATTTTACAGTCTCACCAACAGTGAATAAGGGTTCCGTTTTCTCCACAACCTTGCTAGCATTTGTTGTTTGCTATTCTTGGAGTACAGACACAACTCAGAGTACTAAGTAAAATACTTAATTGCCAAATAAGATTGGCAACTCTACATAAGAAATACCTGAGAATAGAGGGAGAAGAAAAGCATCATCTTTAAATTTGTAAATCAGAGCTCATAACTGACCCTCCAGCAAGTTTTCAAAGGCAATAAATTGCACAGAAGATTGGCCATCTTTCTACCTCAGAGCAGCTGGTAGATTTGAACCAAATGCCTTTGTGTTGGCAGCACAGCTCCTTACCACTACGCCACTAGAGCTCCAAAGATGCTAGAGTTAACTCGAAGTGAAGGTAGTGGTTGTTAGGTGCAGTTGAGTACAACTAATAGTCACACTATGAACAACAGATCTGAACCCTCTCCTATCTTGTGTCACCCTCTTAATCTCCGGCATACTTGAGTCCATTGCTGCAGTCAGTGTTTCAATCCATCTCATTGGAGGTCTTCCTTTCTCTCACAGACCTTCCATCTTTCCAAGCATGATGTCCTTTTCTAAAGAACAGGCTTTAATGACAACTTGCCCAAAGTATGTGAGACAAACCTTAATTATCATTGCCTCCAAGGAGCACTTTGTCCAAGACATATCTGGTTGTTCTTTTGGAAGTCCATGAGCTATTCAGTTCTCTTTTCCAACACGAGTCAAAGGCATCAGTTCTTCTGTCATCCTTATTCATTTTCCAGCTCTCAGATACATAGTGGGCAATTGAAAAGACCATGGCCTGAATCAGAAGAATATGTTCTTCATATGCAAAAGAACAAAGGGTTCCTAAGTGTTTCCCACCAGTCCCAGCTACCTTCTATCCTTCCCATTTTTATTTTATTTTAATGTTTTCATTAAGAAATGTCAAAAGTTGGCTACCATTCCATGCACAATTTTACAATTTTAAGGCGTGGGGACTTGCATATTTGGACCCAAGAAAATTTTCCACATGTTGTAGTTATGTGGTGTTCAGTCAACTATGACTCACAGTGACCCTATGCCAAATAGACCTGAACCATGCCCTATCCTGAGCCAATTGTACTGTCTTCAACACAACTACCCCTGTTACCCTAGTTACTGTGTGAATCCATCTCATCTGGGGATTCCTCTCCTTCACTGTACCTACACTCTTCCATGAGTGATGTCCTTTTCCAAGGATTAATCTGCCCTGACAACATGCTCAAAGCATGTGAGATGAAGCCTCAAAATCCTTATTTCCAAGGAAAAACTTGGTTTCACTCTCTCCTTTTTGTTCTATTGGCAGTCTATGGTATTGTCAATACTCTTCTCTAGGACTATAAATGAAAGGCATCTATTCTGTCATTTTTAATCATAGTCTAACTCTGATGCACAATATTGCAAAGACCCTGGTCTGGATCAGGTACACCTTAGTCTCTAGACTGACATCACTGCTGTTCAGCATTCTGGAAAAGTCCCTGACAGAAGATTTTCCTAATGCAATTCATCTTTTGGTTTTCTGACTGCTGGTGCCAAGAATGTTGACTGTGGGGCCAAACAACCCCAATCCCTTTTCCATCAGCATGCTGCTGCCAGTTGGCCCAGTGGTGAGAAACTTTGTCTTCTTCCTCTTGAGTTTCAATCTATATTGAAATCTACAGTCCTTAACCTTCCACAGCAAGTGCTTCAGGTCCTCCTCAATTTCAGCAAGCAAGGTTGTATCATCTGCATAATGTAGATTGTTGATGAGTCTTCTTCCAATCCTGATGCCACATTACTTCTCATAAAGCCCAGTCTCCTGAATGATCTGTTCTGTGTATAGATTGAAAAGGTCTGGACACAGGACACATCCCTGACACACTTCTTTCCTGATTTTGAACCATGCACTGCTGGTGTCTAGAACTCATTAGCTACTCTATGGAAGAATGAAGAACAGTCTGCTCCTTTTAAGATCAACAGATTTGGAAACCCAAGGGGGCAGTTCTATTCTGCCATATAAGGTCACAATGAGTAAAGACGACAGAAGAAGAATTGATGCCTTTGAGTTGTGGTGCTGGAGAAGAGTATTGAACATATCATGGACTACCAAGAGAACAAAGAGTTCTGTCCTGGAGTGGGTGAAGCCAAACTGCTCCTTAGAGGCAAAGATTTTGAAGGTCCATCTGACATTCATTGAGTGTGTTGCCAAATTGAAGAACTTGGAGAAGGACAATATGCTTGGAAGGGTAGAGGGACAGCACAGGAGAGGAAGACCCCAGATAAGATGGATTGATACAGTAACTGGGGTGATGGAGGTTAAGTGTGTCAGAGACAGGGAAACTGGCTCTGGGTAGGGCAGGGTTCAGAGCTATTATACATAGGGTCGCTATGAGTCACATGAGACTTGATAGCACCTAGCAACAATAGCATTAACTCATTTAATCTTTATAGCAAACATTTGTGCTTCCTTCAAGAGATGAAGTGACTTAGGGAGTTACTGGGCTGGCATTTGAATTCAGGCCATCTCCAGAGTCCTGTTCATAACCACATACAATATTAGCTTTTATTTTTATCAGCTCTCACTGAAATTCCAGGTGTATTTACTAAGTTTTGTACTTTGATATCTATACCCATTGGTACAAATCCACCCAGAAGTGCCGCAGAGGAAATTCCTGATGATCTACTTCCAAAAGTTCACGGCCACCAAAAACTCAGTATGATGACGTTATACTCAGACACACAAAGATGAATCGTCACCAGGAGAAACTGACTGCTCAGCAGTCGGCATGGTTTTCAGTTTCCATGTGCTTAAGCCTCAGTATGGGACCTAAGGGGTCCACGCAGGACAGATGGCAGCAGCAGGCGCAGGAGTGAGCAGACCTGAGGTCAGCATT